TAGCAATTCTCACTCAAATTCTTCCAACTTTAACTCTGTACATCGCAGTATCCTTCTAAAAACTTGGTCTACAAAATGCATTCCTCCTAAGGTCAAAACTTTCATTTGGAGACTTATAAGGCTCTTCACAGTACTCCTAGCTGGAGGGTTACCTCGTTTGCCAGCTAGTTCAAAATCTGATGTGAATGAAAAAAGGTGGCGGGACCCATATCTTTGCTAAGGATTGCATCCCCTAGCCAGGGTGCGGTTTCCTCATGCCAAAAGGGAAACTGTGAGTGGTCCCCTCACATGCTTGCATGCATGGGAGGGAGAGATGGAAGTGAAAAGAGGGATGGGTGGGTCCTACTAATATGGGTGGGACCCACTAACATAGATACTGTCTAAGACACATGCATTGTGAGGTGTGGTTCTCTAACCGGTTTCTAGTCTAGCTGGAGGCCTTGGGCTCCTCAAGTGCGCTACCGCACTGCTACTGCCCTAAGACATGCTCTTCCAACTGCTGCTAACCTTCACTCTAAAGTTTCAAACATTTCAGATTCTTGCTCTCGCTGCAACAGCCCAGAAACTGATACTCATCTCTTTTTCCACTGCACCTTTGCTAGACTCACTTGGAAAATTTCTGAGCTATATTTCAATCATTCTATCATTGACTCTAGGCATAATGTTTCTGAAATCATTGCCTATCTGTCACACCCCGAAGTTCTCCTCCCAAGCCGAAAATTTAATTTATAAATGACCCTAAGAAAATGCCGGTGCAAATCAAGAGAAAACCCTAAGGAAGTAATACAAATAGTAATCGAATCTGGCATGTGGAATTTTTCTTGAGTTCTACATGTCGAAATTCACTAACAGGATTTTTAGTGGAATTTTCAGAGCCCTAGAAATAATTTTAACCAATTAAAATTGAGCAAGCAATATTTTAATTCTAGGGAAAATCCTTTTCTCCTTTTTCTTTTTCTTTTTCCCTTCCCTTTCCGAATGGGCCGCCAGCCCATTCTCTCCTTTTTCTCCCCCTCCTCCCCGCTGGGCCGGCCGCAGGCCGAGGCCCAGCCAGGCCGCCCCGCCTCCCTCCTCTCCCGGGGTCGCCGACAGGTGGGGCCCACCTGTCGGGTCCTCCCCCAACCTCCTGCCGCCCGCGCTGGTCACCACCCCCGAAACCGCCGCCGCCGTGCCCCACCTCCCCCGCTTTCCCTGCGCCCACGCCGCGTTGCCCACGCCCACGCTACGTCGCCGCCCCCTCTCCCCGCGTCTCCCGGCCGCGCCCGCGCACGAGAGGGGCGGGATTCGATTTTGAATCCTCCCTCACCTTCTCTCTCTCCTTCCCCACGTCGCCGGCGAAATCGGACGCGCTCGGGTCATTCCTGACCTTCCCGCCCCTATAAAATCCATCCCCGAGCTCTCCTCCTCGTTTTTCCTTTTGCCGCCTCTCTCTCCCGAGCTCTCCATCGTCCCCGCACCGTGCATCCACTTGCCGCCGCCGCCCCCGCTACTCCGGACGCCGCTAGCCGCCGCTAGGGTCGCCGCCGCGCCGCGCCGCCGTCGCCGTCAGGTTTGCGAGGCCGAACTCCATCTCGTCTGCCCCTTCCCCGTCGGGATTCATCGCCGGAATTCGCATCCCCTCGCGCTCCGGTGAGTTCAACCTCTACCGCCGCCTTCGGCCATGAATGCCGGTCGCCGTGGTTCATCTCCCTCCCTCTAATCTCTCTCTTCTCCTTCCTTAGGGCACCCCGAATCCCGTCCGCCGGTTGCCGTCGTCCTCCCGTGGCTCGTTGTCGCCGTTCGCCGTCGTCTTCCTCCGCGCCGGCCACCCTCGGTGAGGCGCCCTCTCCCCTCTATTCCCCTCCCTCTCCCTCCTAGCCGCCGCTTTAGCGCCGCCGCCCGTTAGCCGTCGCTTTAGCACCACCGCCCGTCGGCGCCGCCTTTGCGCCGCCGCCTCCGCCGCCGGTTGCAGTCGCCGGCAACGCGTGTGCGCGCGCCGTCGCCGTCGCCGTGGCCGCTTGGCCGGTCTTGAGCCGAGCCGGGTCGCCACCGCCCGTCCGATCGGCCCCGAGGGCGATCTGGGCCGTCGGTCCCGTGGACCGGCGGTGGACCACCCGCGTGGTCCCGGTCCACGGTGAACCGCCCCCCCTGAGCCACTGCCGAGTGGGCCCGCGTGCCGGCGCCCCTTTTCCTCCCTCTCCCGAGCCGCTGGCCAGTGGGGCCCGCATGTCGGCGCCGCGTCCCCCTTGATGACGTCAGCCCTGGGATTTATTGCGCAATAAATGATTTAAGGTTTTTCTTTTATAGTAATAAACACAGTGAATCTTCTAAAATTCATAACTAATTCATCCGAGCTCCGTTTAAGCCCATTCAAGTCTCAGTAAATCAAGAAAAATGTGTAGAATCCATTAAAAATGGTTTTGTTCCCTGTTTCAGTAGTCTTATAGCCTGTTTGCAATATTTGCCTTGTATGTCGCTAGATTCCGGTTCTTCCGACGCTCCGGTGTACTTCAAAATAGTCGCCGAGGTTCCTCCAGCAGCAGAGCAAGGCAAGTCATGCTTGTCACTTGAACATGTTGATCCTATATTGCAAATGCTCTATTGTTTTTCTTCAAATATTGCATTGTTTTATAATGTTACTATGGGGTGTTTACCTATTGTTACAGCCATGCTATTTTGATATCATGCTCCTTTGTTAGCTTGGGTTATAACTTGAATAGATTTTGGACTAGGAATTGCTTAGCCATGCTTAGTTCCACTAGCACACAATGGGGAAAGCTCACTAAAATATAGACTTTAGGTTCAATTGGTAAGGTTGGTTTAGTACCACCATTTTGGTGTTGGTTAATTAAAATGAATCACATGGTGGGCTGTGGGTGCATGGTTTTGCTAGTCACACCCATGACAGTTAAGGACCGGTTCACGGGATGCCCTGGAAGAACTTATCGTACTTACCACAAGCCAGCGTGGGCAACGGCTGGGCTTATAGTGTAGCTTTCCTCTAGCTGACGCATCCAGGCAAGGGTGGGCGTGATGGAGCGGGGCGGGCCCTGCGACGGCCTCTGTCGCTTCCGGATTCACCTAGGCACGAGAGGGGACTGCCCGCTGCCTTGCGAGGAGTGGGGGGTGAAACCTGAGGTGTGGTGTGCTTGGTTAGATGGGGTTATGCGAAGGGTCCTGTCACGGCCTCTTTCCGGTATGTCGTGGTGGCATGTCGGCGCACGGAAACGTGTCGTGGGGCTATGTCTTGTGGGTACAGTTGTACACCTCTGATCAGAGTAAAACTATTCGAATAGCCGTGCCCGCGGTTATGGGCGGTCAACCAGATTCACCGTGATTAGTCTTACCCTAGTTTAGTCTAATGAAATTGGATAGTATAGGTGGATGGTTGGCCCTGTTGCAACGTGGGATAGCGTTGGACAGCGGATGATCAATATTAATTAATTATTGCAACTGTTTAATTCTTTCAACTTCTGTTTATAAATGCTCGTTTTATGCAAACGAACCACTCTAGCTCTCCTTTGATAATTCCCTGCATCATACCCCTATTCCGGTATGACTTGCTGAGTACAGTGGGTAGTACTCAGTCTTGCTCTATTTTTTTTCCCAACCCCAGAGTATGAGTATGTGTCAGATGGAGGTTTCTCCGAGGAGTAGGCTTCGTCCGTGCCGTCGAGGATGCCTGTGGAGTGGTGTTCCCGCTGCAGTTCTAGTCAAGGCTTAGCTCTTGTTGTCTTTCGTTTTTCCGCTGCATTTATGTAAGACTTTTATGATGTTTGTAAGACGTGGATCTGAATGTCAACATTGTCGTTTGTGTACCCCGGCCGGTCCTGGACGGGGATTTTAATGCACATTCTGCTTGGAATTCTATTCGGGAATTTCTGGGCGTGACACTATCTCCTTGCTTCTAATAGTTTTGATAATAACTTTCAAATTATCTCTATTCTTCTTTGGTATATTTGGAAAGCTAAAAATGATCACTTCTTCAGAAAAAAAGATTGGGAACCTTTACAAATTTGTAATGCCTCCAATGCCATGTCTAAGAGCTACATTACTGCTTTATCAAATGATGATGATAATAATGACACTCCTATCATAAATGAAAATCCTACTGTTTGTCTAAACTTTTTACCAGGAAACAGATGCTTCTTTGATGCTTCTTGGAAGGACAATCTAACAGGTTTTGGCCTCTTTCTTCATAATCCAATTAATCATCAAGCTATCTTTGTGCAGGGGAAATCAAGTCTCTACAAATCACCAATGCAAGCAGAACTTGCAGCCTTCAAACTTGCTCTCTTCATCTGTGATTTCCTTAAAATTGCAAATCCTCTTTTTCTTTCAGACAATCAAGAGCTAACACTGTTACTTCAAAATACTGATTACATCAATCAGAATTGCCACTGGAGCCTTTTACCTCTTCTTGCACTTTTAAAAATTTTTGCAGGTGATGGCCCCTCCAACATCAAATGGATTCCCAGAGACATAAACAAAATGACAGACTACCTATCTAAAAAAGCTAGAACATCTTCTGAATCTGAAGTGCTAAATTGTCAAAATATTAGTCATACTTGTAATAACAATACTTGTCCTACAAAGCAACTCTTACAAGCTGCTCTTTGGAAAGACAATCATGTATCTCCAGTGCACGTTTTGTGCTTTTAATGTTTAATATATTGAATGTTCAAAAAAAAAGTGTTGGTTAAGCACAGCACAAAGTCACTATTTTTCTTTCTCTCTTATACTTACTTTTGCTGTCCGCAGAAGTCATTCTTCATTTCGCCGTTAAACTTGTGAAGGAGAAGAACCTAGGCGAAATTGTGAACGTGATTTCCCACGATATTTTGGGGGTAAAGTGAAACTAAAATGTTTTCATAGCCGACGACATTTTAAGGCAAATGTTTTCATAGCTGGGTCGTTGACGTACCAGGCCCTTTTCAGTTTTCATGGACTCTTAACGGATTGGGCCTTGCAGGATTGGCCAATTTAATTTATGGGCCTTCCACTGTATTTGGTTCGCGGACCGACCGACAGCTCGCTAATGATTCCGGCGTGATGTTGCTGCGCCGCCTGGCCGCGTCCGCCCTCCGCCGTGGCGGCGCCAACGGCGGCGTCCTGGCCGCCGTCCGCGCCGAGATCGCGCATGAGCTCTCCTCCTCCACCCCCTCCTCTCCCCCGTCGCTCCAATCCCAGGTACCCACCACCGCATCCTCCCGCCCCCAATCCAGCGCCACTCACTTCCCCCTGGTTCTCGCAGGACATTCCCGACTTCGCCACCGTGTCGGACCCGCCGCGCGGGCAGGAAGTGCTCCTGCGCCGCCGGGATGCTTCCGAGGAGGTCCTCGTGTCGGCGGTGCTCGAGCCGCTGCGGTTCGAAGGGGAGGAGCCCCTGCCCAGGGACGCGCTCATGAAGGTGTTCGTCAGTAAGCCTGATGTGAAGCCGGTGATGCGGTTCGACTGCCGCGCGTTTGCAGATGAAGGTGATGGCGGCTCTGCTGACTATGATGTTACTAATGCTTGTTATCACCCGTTTGCTGGCGACGCTGGGGAAGACAAGTATGAAGGGCCTGAGTTCAGGTGATGTTTCTTCATTCATGTGATTTTAGGGGCTGTTTGGTTCTTAACTAACATTGCCAAGGCTAAGGAGGTGTGGCAGCCTAAAGTACGGTGTGGCAAGTTGAAGCAATGAACCAAACACAATGTTTGTGGATATTGTGATGCGCGCAGTGGGCTCATAAACTTGGAGTTCCTCCAAGAAATCTGGAAAAACAAGCACTTTCATGGCATTTTGGTGGAGCTCTGTAATTCTAGTGACCGGTAGAAAAAAAATTAGCACATGATCAATTTCAGGAGAGCCTATGCCTTCCAGGAAATTCAGTACCACCTATCTTTTCTTTCTACAAAAGTAGAGGAACATGCGTATATTTTTTTGTGGTTTACTGTTCTAACGCGCTGATTGTTGATTACATTGTCTTACAACATAGTATCTTGGTAGACTGAAAATCTATTACTATGTATTATTTTCCTACAGTCTTGTCATGACAGTGAACCAAGTATCTGTCCTTGTTATTAACTCCATGTTAAGCCGCAGGGTCTTCATTTGCTAGAATATCTAGTTATACCCTATTGTCAAAATTCAATGTAGAATTTTTCTTGCGTTCTATCTTGATGGATGGTTTTTAAAAGGAACTTTGGTAAACTTGGTGGAGAGGTCTCACGAATTCCTGTTCTCCATTACTCTTGCTTGCACCTGCAATTCTCAGTTAATTTTTTTATAGAGTAAATTTATACGATGTCTTCTGTTAGAGATTTTTTTTATATTGGCTTGCAACGCCATGTCCAAATATGTTCAACATGAATGTGGCTGGATTCACATGAATTTGTTCAAACATATTGATTACTTGGCCATACTGTGAGTATGCTCATGCTAAAATTTGGAACCTTCACATGTTCGCCTCCATTTATTAATTTAAAGTGCAAAATGAACAAGAAAAGCTTGTTGGTTGAAAGTGTTTTGTAGCATAAGGGCGATGCTGATCTTTTTGGAGGTACAAGTGTAGTAAGAACCAACTAAGCAGCATATAACTATGAAAGTCTGAAAATCGATCCTTGGTTTCGGATTAAAATAGATATTCTAAAATAAACAAGGAGGAATATTGGACCTTTTTATTCTATTTAATCAATTCCTCATCCCAATTTTTTTTGGATTTTATTGTTTTGACTGGATTTAAGCGAGTCAGTACAAATTTATAGAATCAGTGGGCTGTAAGCATCTCATCAGCCACTTGGTACACGCTACATGTGTTAACTTGGGACTAGACTATGCTTAGATGGCTCATCACTACATTTGTATTTTTTTTGTTAGCAAAATGACCTCAGGACATGTCATCTCAAATAGATAGCATCGTGATGTGATTGTTTAGGGACTCAATGGTCTATAATTTCTAGGTAATGAGGCTTGGTGGTAGGATTTCATTGTCACCAGCAGTTAAAGTAACCTTAGCCATTACTTGTATCCTTACTATCTGGTTCAATGGCAAACATGTTTTATGTTTGTTGAGCTATAATGTTTCTATAGTTCTTTTTACTGCTCATTCATGAAATGGTACTTATGAAATTGAAAGTTGACTGTATCACATTGCTCCACTGAAGGGGCCTATTTCTGTTCCCTTAAACATCAAATAGCCTTTGTTTCCCTTTTTTTTGGCAACATAAGAGGTTAGAGGGGTCTCTATTCCTGTTGTTTCGATTAAGATCATTACAAGGTTGGTTTCCTTGTACCTATTTGCAATCAATGACAGTGTTCCCCATTGTTTTTGCAGAGATTTGGATCCTCGGTTACAGGTTGCACTGAAAGGATATCTGGTGGCAAGAGGCGTTAATTCCAAACTGGCAAGCTCACTTCACCACCATTTGGTTGAGAAGGAGCGGTGGCAATATATGAACTGGCTGAAAACTTTGGAAGACATGTTCAGCAGTCATTGACAAAAATATTTCCAGCACTGAAGACCATTGAAATGTTCCCCGTCAAATACGCACACTTTTTGTTGTGGAAATGCATAGATCAGCTAGCTTTGTGGAATGCAATTGTCGTGCTTAATTTAGTTCCGTGGAATTGACCACGAAATCACCATAGTTTGGTCGAATCTAATTTTTTTTAAATTTCCAGCTATGGTTGGAACTTGGAACCTTCGTGAACCAGCAACCATCCAAATATCGATGGTTGATCAAGTGTGAACACGGTTTGTTTCGGTTGAAAAACAAAAATGACAAATAATTTATTTTTACTGTGCTCCATGGAAGCATGGAAGATGGAACATGACGTAAAATCACAGCTGCACAACTGGTTGCTGCTAACGACGAATCATCGAGGATTAGCCGATTAGGACGGTGAAGCGTGTCTGCTTCGGCTAGCGATAAGAACGTCCTCTAAAAAAAAAGAAAAAGCGATAAGAACGTCCTCTAAAAAAAAAAGAAAAAGCGATAAGAACGTCCCCACCATGACACCGGAAAAAGCGCCAGATAACATCGCCTAGTCTCGTCTCCGACTCCGACCGCGACAAGAATAGGCGGGCGACCACCGATTCCGCTCGCAACCCGGCTCCAGCCCACCGACTCGGTTTCCTCCTCGGTGGTTCTCCTCTCCGCTCCTCTATAAATGCAGCCCGATCCTCGCTGCTTTTTCTTCGTTGAGGATGGTCCCATGGCTTCCTTCCTCTTCTCGCGCGGTCATTCTTCCCCTTTTCCCCTCCGCCGCGGGTGGGCTGGTAAGTCGGTAGGTAAGGGATCAATCGGTTTCGATCTCACCTCGTTCGCTGCCGTTTGTTGATTGATGATCAGGCGCACCAACTAGCCGGATAGATTGCCCGCTTGCTCGTCCTTTTCTGGTGCTTGATCCGTTCGGTTTGGGGGGGGTCTAGTTTCGGCGATTTGCTTCTGCTGTTGTGTTAGTTTTCTGAACACAGTATCTCTTTCGATTGGTTTATGGCTAATTGTGGTTTGCTGTGTTGGGTACAATATGCGCGATCGGTTGGTTTGTGTCAATTCATGTTTGGTGCGATGGATTTGTCATGGATATTTTGGGCTTGATCAAAGGCTAGATGAACTGAAGTTTTCGCTCTGAATTGGTCATGGTTAGGATTGCTCACTGGCCTCAGATTATTGTTCGGTTCCTTTCAAGTTCGTGATGCTTGGTTTTGTTTGAGACCGTTCGTCTGCTTGCAGCTATGCAGTTTTTCCTTCGGATCTAGTAATTTTTATGATAAGGTCAAGTCATATCAGAAAATTTAAGGTCTGTTCAGAGCTTTCAAATCACCGGCTTTAACTTGTTCAATTTCGGCAAGACATACTCTTCAGATTATCTTGAATATGGTTGTGTGTCATCTTAACCGGACCATGTATTGCTTTTTGGCTTTGATAAAAATCGTCACTATGTGCTAGGGCGTTGGAATGATTCTTCTGTGTCAGTTCTTAGTTAAAGTTTAACATCAGGATTTCTCGCGAGGATTTAAGGAGCTCTTTTTGACCGCCTTCCCTGTGGATTAATTTATCCTAGTACAGGAACTACAGATTACTTGCTGCTTGACCTGCTCAGTTTGAGGTACAGATCTCGTGATTTCCCTGTTTACTGGTGTTAGTTTTAGGAACCTTGATGCTTTGGTTTAGGGCTATGGTTAATTGCAATTTATTGAAATTTCAATATGTCAATATTGTGCAGTTGGTTTGCTTCCATTACAAGCAACTGTCCAAGAACATTTTATTTGTAATACGAACATTTATAAACCAGAGAAATTGAAGCTTGTTGTATGGGATTGGTCATTGTTAGGAATAGTCTTTGGTGTATAAGATGTTTTCTCCATTCCATTCAAGACTGCTGCTACGCTTTTGGGTCAAAATAACAAGTGAGATTGATATTATTTGGAGGCCATTTGTCTGCTTGGAAAACTCTGGTTATTTAAGTCCATCCTGCTGCGCTTTTATGGTTGTCTTGTCAGAACATAGACATGGCCATAGTTCTCCGAGAATTTGACGTTAACTTGTTTACTTCCGGAAAAGCTATATCAGTCAGTTATTAACTTGCTGTGAGGGTGGTTATGTAGTAACTAAGAAGACACATCCTAAAGTTTCTGTGGTAGACGATTCATTTGGCAGTTCTTTCGAACAATATTACAAGGTTGTGAAGGTGATTCTGAAATCTTTTGACTACTTTGGGTGAAATTAATTTGAAGATTTATTTCAAGAACATTTATGGACCTCAACATTATAAAGCCATCTGTTTGAAGTTTCTTCTGAGTAGAAACAATTGCTTTATGAACCATGGAGGAGTTCTCAGTAGCAGTATTTGATTTCTACTTGGTCCAGCTTGCATCTCCAGTAGTATCCTTTACATATGGGCTTGTACTGTTCCATAACTAGCTAGGATATGGGTTCATTTCAACATATGATTGGCCCTCTTGTATGTTGGTTTGGTGTCATCTTGTAATTTGTGTGTTCATTAAGCTTCCCTCTGATGTTGGAAATTGTAATTATCAAATGATATAGACGTCCATATACTGATTTAGTCTGTATAATAGTTGTAACATGGTAATTTGTTTTGATAATCCTGAGTTGTAACATGGTAATTTTGTCCATATACTGATTTAGTCTGTATAGAATGAAACTCTATGGCTCTTGTGGCATTGTTCTCTCTTGCTTTCATTTTGTGAGTGTTGAATGTAGCATTGTAGCACTTCATTCAGGAACTAGGATATTTCCAGGAATATTTTGGATCGTCTTGCAGCTTCCACAGTTTTGAAAGTTATTCATCTTCTATACTAACTTGGTAGATAACTGAAGTTTACAGTGTCGAGGCAATTTTTGCTTAGGCTCATAAAAGATGGAAATGTGGATGTTTTTTAAATATTATGCTTGATAGGAATTGTCCTAAATTATATATCTTATGTCCAGGGCTTTTGAATTGAGGTGAATCCCTTGAACTTAGTTGCTAATCACAACAACACATTATCACTAACTTGTTTCTTCTTACAGTTTGTCTGGTATATTTCTTTCTTTATAATTATTATATCTCATTCAACATAGTATCCCCAATTAAGATTTGCCAAGAAAGGACCTTAAACAAGAGCACATTGTTGCTTGCCAATGAGAATTTTTTGCCTTGTGAGGTAGTGCCATACTAACAGAACAACTAATATATAGCATCCTTTTGCATGTATTAATTCACTTAAATGTGCATGCTTATTAGTATTTTTGTCCAGTGTAATGCTTTATATAGTTATCAATTTTATTATACGTTGTGAAGATAAACTTAGCTCAACTGGGACCTTGTTTTGTGTAGAATCCCTTCTTCCTTTTTTTTTTATATATACCTGCATGTGTGGAACTTCCATTTCATTTTCTTGTTTTGTGTAGAATCCCTTCTTCCTTTTTTTATATACCTGCACGTGTGGAACTTCCATTTCATTTTTTTTATATACCTGCATGTGTGGAACTTCCATTTCATTCTAGGGTGGCCCTTGCATGTTTTTGCTAGATGGCTAGCATTCTTCCTTAGTTTCAATTTTGTCCTTAAGACTTGTTTTGTTGCATCATTTTTCTTGTGTGATTGAAATTGCATACAAGCTACAGAATTCACTAACTGGTTATTTCTCTTGTCAATAAATCTGTGATTGAAACTGCATACAAGTTCTCCATTTTATTTGTCTAATTAGACTAGTATAGTGGTTTTGAGAACCTTGATTGTCCACCAGTTGTTTTATTTGTGCATCAACTCTGTGTGCATGGTTTCAGTTTGTCTTTTTAATTTGAACCAACCTTAAATCTCTTCATACATTATCTGGTGGTTTTAGTAATCTCTTTTTGGCTAAATGTATAGGTGCTTTAGTTTTTGTAGCATTAATTTATTCTAGGCAAATAGTTTTATTTTATGGTCTAAAACTTGATGCTTTCTTTGTGCTAAATATATCCTATATCCAGCTAGCGCCTTAACATTTCATTTTTTTTCTTGCTAATTATTAATTCCCAGATTGTTTGTTTTCCATCTGCATAACCAAATATTAGAAATATCGTATCAATGTTCTATGGTTGCTTGTTTGACGTCAATGCAATTACTGTGCCATTACTTGTGTCTATGTCTAGTAATGCATGAGATACAAGTTCAAATAAATACTGTTTGTGTGTGTTCTTTCTAGGCATTACTAAGCTAGTAGCTGCCATTTGTATTGCTATTAAAAGCTTTGATGCCTTCACACCTTTCGCGTTTTTATAAATAAGGCGATAAGGCGGCTAATTTGGTTTAATTAGAGTTTTCTTTTACTTTAGCTCCTGCAAGAATTTTGTTTAATTATATTGCATGTGCCAATGCTTTTTGGTTATTCTTTGATTTACTTCCTATTAGAGTGCAGTGACGTACGACATATTGAAAGTGCTTAAAGTACATATCAGAAAATGACTTTAAAATGGTTTTAAGTGTGATATACACCTAAAATGCTTACATTAATATCATTTTGATAATGACTTGATCCCTAACCAAGCTTTGATGCAGTACTGTTCTGATAGTCTTCGTAGTTACTTTAACAAGATGATGGATTTAATTAAATATAATGCACATAGTCCTGACTCCTGAATCTATATAGCTACTTATTAAACCTATCCTTTCCACCACCTGACTCCTGAATTGATATGATCTTTAACAGGATTTAGAACATGCAATTAAATTGAATATTATTAAAAATTGATAACTTGTTCTCTTAATGCCTTACCCTTATGTGTGTGTCGGCATGTACGTAAGTACGTTCTATCAGTTTGTGTGCATGACCTAGTAAGATTTATTTAGGGAAAATCTAATCCTAACATTTTCTTTACTGTGTTAATAATGTTGCTATATATGCTCCGTCAGTTTGTAAACATGACCTAGTAACAGTTATTTTAGGAAAATCTAATCCTAACATTTTTAATGTTGTTAATAGTGATTGCTATACACGCTCAATCCAAATTTAGTTGCTTTGCATAATAAGGTGCTAATTTAGAGTTGTATGTGTTGGAATGTACAAGTATTAATCATGTTAAATGTCCTAAATTCTGAAATCCACTGGCACCAGATGATTTCAGTTGTGTGAGAATATATTTTACATGAGCTTTCTGCCAAATATTGTCTTTTTCATGTTACAGTATGGACTTCTAGTTGTCAGATGTTTGGAATTTAGTAAAAATGATCATTTGCATGACGATAAGATGATTTCATTCCCAAAAATTGTTTTTTACTAAATTTTGTTCGCGTGATTAACATTTCATTCTTGCTAATTAGTTTTCCATCTGCATTCTGTTCCAAAGGCTAGAAAGTATCATATCCATGTTCTATGGTTGCTTTCTGATGTTTATTTATTTGATGTCAATATATGTTGTGTTACTATGCGAATACTTGTGAAGATCTAGTAATTCATGAGATTGAGGTCAAATAGATATAGTGTTTGTATGTTTTTTTTATGGAAATTGCTGAGCTAGTAATTATGTATTTAGTTTTCTTTTACCAGCTCATGTTTGTTTAATCATATTTCGTGTGTCATTGCCCATTCTGTGTGGTTATCGTTGATTTACCTCCTATTATTGTGCATAAAGTACATATCAGAAGATGTCTTCAAAATGTTTTTTGCAATGTGATACACTTAAAATGCTTACATTAATGTAATTTTATTATGACTTGATCATTTGCCAAGTTTCTTCTGATTTATGTCGTGTTTTCTTCAGCTATTTCCTTTGATGCACTACAGTTCTGATTTAGTAAGTTACTTAATAGGGTGATGGATATGGAATTAAATTTAATATAGTGCACATAGTTTTGAATCTATATTATTTAAAATATTTTCAACTTATCCATTCAAACGTGGTTTGATATGATCTTTAACAGGATGATGAATATGTAATTAAATTAAATATTATTAAAATGATAACTTGTTCTTATAATATCTTCCCTTTTGTGTGTGTATTGATTGGCATATACCTTCTGTCAGTTTGTTTACATGAGCTAACATTTATTTAGGGAATATATAATCCGAACATAATTTTTACTCCGTAACGTCGCCATGCTCAATCTAATTTTTTTCTTTGCATAGTACACTAATAATTGAGATATGTGTTGTGGTATTTAACCATGTTGAATATCCTAAATTATGTGTTGGGAGTATTAACCATGTTGAATGTCCTAAGTTCTGAAAATGCACTTGTGCTGACTTTGTATTTCATGTATATCCTTTGAAGGCAATATTGAGTATGGACTTCCACTTGTCGGATGCTAAAAATTTATCACAGAAAATCGGTTAATCAATGATAAGACGATTTCATTCGGAAAATTTGGTTTTAGCTAAATTTATTAGCGTAGCGTTCCAGTTATCCTTAGATGTTGAACTTAGTTTATGTTATCTGCCTGTTTGGCAAACTAGCATATACTAGTATAATTACCGGAACCTAGTGGTGGTAGTTAGTCTGTTTTTCTATGCGCATTTGCATTGTTAGTCTAATGCAAACTGCATTTGCATTTGTTTATTTTCGTCGGTATGGTTATATATAGCTCCTTCTGCCTAGGTTGCTTGTGGTGAATTACTAGTATTTGATTATGACGATAGTTGCTTTATTCGACGTTTTTGCTCTCCTTGATGTTGGTAGATGCTATGATGGGCTATGGGTAGCTAACTCGATCTATTCTTTATACTCACTAACTTCATACTGTTTAACAGTCAGAGGTGCTCCAATTGTTTTTTCACTTGACGTGTTGGGGTGTTATGTTTGGGGGTAGGGGGGTGCCTAACACTGCCAGTGCCGGTCCCAAGCCCGGATAAAAGTGGAGGGGGCACCGGTTTCTTCAAGTTTTTGAGTTGTGTGTGTGTGTGTTGGGGTGATCTCGGTGAGAAGTATCTTATGTTGTGTTGGCTGGTCAGTGGTCACTAATGTTGACACGGCAATATCTTTCGCCCAATAAGCTTCAGAAAGAGCAGAACTGCAGAAATATGGGCGGTGCCTGTACCTGTACGTTGCCCAAGCTAAGCACCAAAGAAAGAAAGGCTGTAACGCCAACAGTTGAAAGATCCCGTGGGATCAGCATCGAACTTCAGCAATCTTCAAGGACTGAACTCTAATCTGTGGTTATGTGGTCTGGTCTGTGGTTTTCCTGGTATTATTACATTGGTTGGTCGTTCATTGGTGGACAAATGGCAATGGAAGCTCGTCTTGTGCTGAAAGGAAGCTAGTGGTTATGCCGTTATGGTTTTCCTGGTATATTACATTAGTCATTCATTGGTGGACAATGGAAGCTCGTCTTGTGCTGAAGCAGCTGAAAGGATTATTGCCACTAAGCTTGTTGTTACTACTGTGAGCTCTCCAACGCTAGTTGCTGCAGGGATATGAAACAATCCAAAGACCATAAACTCCACTGATCCAACAGCAAACAAGCATTCCCAGTACACACGAACACCGTCATGGCGGCTAGTTGCTAGTGCGCACCATCCTCTGCCACGACCCACGCCGAGTGAGCATACAGGATGCGCCCCTTCCACCCCTGCAGCAACCACCCTGCATCCTCCTCGATCACGAATTCCTCGTGATGCCGCCTCCTCACCCTGCGCCTCACCGCCTCCACCACGTCGGCCTCCACCGCCACCTGTCTCAGCCCCGCGCGCCGATTCCTCGCCTGCCACCGCCTGTACGTCTCCGGCCGCTCCACCCGCTCCGCCCCTTCCCCGGCGATCACCCCCACCGCCGCCCGCCTCAGCACGTCCCTCTCCAGCACCGCCCGCAGGTGGCTCCCCTCCTCCGGCGTCGTCGCGTCCAGCATGTCGAACAGCGCCGAGAAGAAGAAGAGCGCCTCCCGGAACCTCGTCGGGAAGAAGGGCGCGCCGTGGGCGCCGTTCACCACGGCCTGGACGAACACCGCCGGGCGCATGTCGCGGATGCTGCCGAGGACCGTGTCCCGAGGGCTCGGGTCGTCGAACACGCCGCTCTCGTCCATCAGGGTGCCCAGGCTGAGCACGTCGTTCACGACGACCGCCGCCTCGTCGTGGTCGACGCCGACGACGTCCTCGGCGGTGACCGTCTCCCACCTCGCCGCCGCCACGGCGCGGAACTTGAATGGGAGCCCGAACGCGCGCGCGCAGTTGCTGAGCCGGCGCCCCGTCCTCTCGAGCCGTCGGGCTGGCCGGAAACCTGGCTGCGGGTGGCCGACGAGCGTCATCCTCACCTCCGGTGGCCCGCCTTCCCTCTCCGCCAGCCGCTGCAGCAAGGATGGCCACTGGAGGCCGTGGTACTGACCGCCGTAGTCCACGATGTGCACCTTGCTCCTCCCTTCCGCCGCGCGGAGGATGGCCATGTTGGCGAACGTGAACGCCACCCACTTGAAGCAGCACGCCGCCATGAACACCTGGTACGCTTCCAGCAACTCCATGGCCGACGCGCGCTCCTCCGCGGACGCGAGCAGCCGGTGCTCCAGGCTCGCCGCGCCGGCCAGCCGCGCCTCCAGGCCGTCGGCGAAGTAATGCGCCAGCCGCTCGGTGGCGTCCCCTGTCGGCGACGAGTGCCGCTTGATCTGCTCCAGGAGTTCGCCGGCGCTCCGGCGGTTGCCCGATGCCACCGCCTGCGCGCACGACATGAGCAGCTCGCGCAGGTCCACCACCTCCCCCTTGCCCTGCCTCCTCTTCCGCCGCGCCGCCTTCCCGCCGTTTTTCTCCGCGGGGACGCGTGGCGCGTTCATCTCCTCGTCCCCGTTGAGCATCATCTTCTCCAACATCTCGCCGACGCCATCGTCGTCGTCGTCCTCCTCCTCCGGCGTGGCCATCAGTTTGCTCGCCCTGCCCACCTCGGCCTCCAGCTCGTCCCCGCCATGCTTACTACCCTTCCGTCCCCTACCATTGCCGCTCCCCTGCATCATCAAGGCAGCAGAATCCTCCATGGGTGCACTGTTCACCTCACCGGCGATGCCGGAGGAGGAGGAGAGGATCTGGGCGAACGGCTGCTGCGCCTCGAGGAGAGCGGGGTGGTCGGGGTACAGGCAGAAGAACATGTCGTCGTCGATGTCCTCCTCCATGAGAATACGCGAGATGTACGGGAGCACCACATCGTCGGCCGCCGCGGCGGCTTCGGACGGCGGCGCGGCTGGCCCCATGAACTCCAGCAACGCAGCGCCCCAAGAAAACACGAACTCCTCTCATCACCGGAGTGCCATATGATGTACTAGGTGGTTTCCATGCTTACATTGGAGTCATCGATCAGCTAATCAGCCAGCGTATCGACATGGCTGTGGCTGATGGCATCAGGCATCAGCTGAACATAGGCATCATCTAAGCTCATTGATAAATGCGATGCGACCAACACACATAAGAACTGACGTTGTCAATCAGATCATCAGTTTTGTTCTCTGAAAAGGAAATTTTGTTACGTTTGTTGTATGGATAGTGAAAGTTACAACTTACAAGTGACAAAAAGGAAGGAACTCTAGCATCAGAAACAAAGCCAGCACCTCATCTGCTTGTTGAATTTTTCAGACGAATATGCAGCAACAAACCAGCCGTCCAGATCAAACCCAACTCATCCTGGCGAGCAGAACACGATGTAGAGAAATGGACAAACTTGTATTGTGCATCTGTGTACTATGTTTACCATGTCAACTTGAGGCAATTCTATATAAATCCTGTCAATTTGAGCGAAATGCTCAAGTGTATCGTCTCAGCTCTGAGATCTGAACTCTGAACAGGCAAGCAAAAGCAGAACAAGATGGAGCGTTCTTCTCCCAAGCCGGTCATTGCGCTCGTGCTGTTCGTCGTATGCATCGTCAGCTGTTTTGAGGATGCCACCGCCCAGTACAGCGGATCGTCCAACAACGGCGCGGCGGCGACGGGCCCCATGGCCGCCGGTGGGAGCTGCTCACTTGCTGTTGCTGCCGCTGTGCTCGCCGTCGCAGCGTTTGTCTGGAACTGAAACATTGTGGTTGAGCTCTCTGTTGCTTCTTTCTTTTCGTATAACTATGAGTGAATCATCTTAGTGATCTCCTTTGCTCTGGTTATTTTAGTATCTTATATTTTATATTTATTTTTATGATGTTCTTGTTTGCGTGAGATTTATGAGTTTTTATGTGTATGCGATGTGAATGGAGTACTTGGTCTTGCACGCCTATGAGTAAAGGTGTTCGTGTACGGTGTACCTGTTTTCTGTGTACGTCTGAAATGAAGTTGGAGTTGCTTGTGTACCTCTGTTGTCAAAAAAAAAAAAATTTAGCATGGTGGCCCGCGCAGATTGCACGGCTAGTATCGTTAAATTTTTTTCTCATATATTAGCTTAAATATTTTCATATTTTATTATTAAAATATATTAAAATGACAACATAATTTTAAATTCTTGGTTGAACTAACAAATGTGTGATATTTTTATTGTATTGTATATCATTATTTTTTTTCACATAGTAGCATATATTTTCACATAATATAATTAAAATATATTAAAATAGCAACATAATTTTAAATTTTGTACTAACTTAACAGCACCAACCAATATGTAATATTCATATTGTATTGTATATCACATATAATATTCATATTGTATTGTATATACGTGATAGTTACTAACTATTTTTAAATTTTGAATTTTTGTAATTTCTAAATTGGATTTCTATATGGATTCCAGACTCCTCTTCCAATATTTCTTATTTTCTAATTTAAAAATATTTCTTATTTTCTAATTTAAATGTTCTATTATTTATAAATTTTATTTCCATATGGACTCTAAACCTTTCTTTCAATAAGTATTTCTTATTTTTAATTTTGAATTCCAATTATTTTTAAATTGTATTACTATATGAACTCTAGACTCCTCTTCCCATATTTCTTTTAATTCTGAATTTCTGTTATTTGTAAATTGTATTTCCATAATGAATCTAAAATATTCTTTCAATATTTTTTATTTTTTAATTCCAAATATTAGTTATTTCTAAATTTTGTTTCTTTATGGACTCTAACTTTAGTTCCAAATTTTAATTAGTTCTACATTGTATATACATGGAGTCTAGTCTTCTCTTTGAATATTTCTTTTTTTTTAATTAGGAATTTCAGATATTTTTAAATTATATTTTTATATGGACTCTTTTTTAAGTAAATTCTATATAACTCTGGTCTCAATGTTTAGATTTCCTAAAAAAAATAATTGTAATTTCATATTAGTATAAATTGTATTTATACATAGATTCTTCTTGCAATAGTTAGTTATATTTTGAATTTCAGGTATTTTAAATAGTTTTGTTTTTTTTTACTTTTGGACTCTAAACGATACTAATGCACTGTGACCGGAGTCTATTTTTACTTGTATCGTTGTATTTCCGTTTCCACACACTAAGTCTGTTTCTTATTGATGTTTGACACTTTTACAGTTTCCATGAATCCTTGTCCGATTGATTGCTTTACTATTTCTTTTCATATTTTCATGCTATTAACATATCCTTCTCCGCTTGCCTTTTTTATTTTTCTTATTTTCTTCGATTAACGTGGTAATTTCTAGGCCGTGAGAACAAATGTGGTGGCTTCTTTTTCTATTACTTTAATAAGATAATAGATTTGTTCTTGTTGTATTTGAACAGTTTCAGGACCGGTTTGTGCTGCTCATCAGGGATCTCCAGCTGACTGTTGCAGATTTGTGTCCTAATCCAGTTAATGAGTTGGAAAAATCATGAGATTTGGCACGCAGAAAATATTATACAGCCATCGGATTCATGAGTCATGCAGCTCCTAAATATCTTTCCAAAAACAGAACATCATCTCTACAAAAGAAGTAAAAGTGCATAGTTAACAACTACAGAATATCACACCCAACCACTCACAGAATTGGACAGAGTATCTGCAAAAGAAGGAAATGCTCAGAATTAACAGCTCCTAAAACACAAATTCCTAAAACTGAACATTATCTCTGGAAAAGAGGGGGAAATGTGTATTTTACACTGCATAGAAACCAAAGACATTTTACACTACGTAGAAACCAAAAATTTGTATTTGATAATGAACCTGAAAACTAATTACTAACTTGCACCAGATTTCAGGGGTAAAATGCCACCTAGGAAACGAGGCATCAACCCTCCAGGCTCCACGGCACTGTAATACTACTGTCTTATCTTCTGATAAAAAGGCTAGAAACAAAATAGAGTAAATTACATGTTGGACTATATTTTTTTACCATGGTTTCACTTTGGGCTACCCTTAATATAATGTTTTCACCTTAGGCCAGATTTTATACCAAAACCTTTCACTTTGGGCGTATGGCCCATAGTCAGTCTCTCAGAGCCAATCTCTCATCCCTATCTGATCATCTCCAACTGTTTTCATCGATGGCTGTAGACCACAAAGACCACGACGCCTAAGAGAGCTCGAGCATATATAACAGAGCTGACGCCCGCGCATCTCAAGCTCGTAGTCCAGCCAGCACGGGGTCAACCTCCGCCAACACGGCGTCACACTAGCTCGACTTTTGTTCCCGTCGTGCCGGCCGGTCTCAGGCTCAAGCTCGATGTCTGGTGGCTTGATCTCGACTTCCGCCCGCACTCGCACGCCATTCCCTGGCTTGATTTCAATCTCCGCCGATGTCGTCCGGTGGCTCGACCTCGACTTCCGCCTGTTCCCGCACACACGCATTTCCCAGTCTCGATTTCAATCTCCGCTGTCGTCATGCCCCGTCTTGACCTCGAGCTCTCCCATAGTCCCATGTCGGCGCGCCACCCCCGGCCTTGACCTCTGCCGTGTCTCTCCCCGCTCGACGTTGATGCCCCGTCTTGACCTCGAACTCTCCCATAGTCCCATGCCGACGCGCCACCCCCGGCCTTGACCTCTGCCGTGTCTCCCCCCGCTCGACGTCGACCTCCAGGCACCAGCAGGCATCAGCACCCACAAGCTGTCCTTGAGCTCGAGCTCCTATCCACCACCCCAGCTTGACCTACGTGGCTCCGTCGCCCCAGCGTGCCGTCCTCAAGCTCGAGCTCTTCTCCGCCGCCGTCGGCCCTCGCTAGCTTGACTTCGTTCTTCACCTACGCCCGCACGTCGTCCCCGAGCTAGAGCTCCTCTCCGCCGTCGTCGCACCTCGCTTGACCTCGATATTCAGTAGCACTAGCACATCGTACTTGGGCTCAAGCTCCTCTCTGCCGTCCCGGTTCAACCTCGATCTCCACGGCTACTCCGATGCCCGCGCGCCATCCCGGAGCTCAAGCTCCTCTCCACCGCCGTCGCCTCCGTGACTCGACTTCTGCTGTACCTGGACGTACACGAGCTCCTCTTTGCTCACGTCGCCTAACATCGACCTCCACACGAGTCTTTCCAGTCACAAGCTCCCCATGTTGCCCCCAAGGCTTTAGCGTGATCTCTGCCCACACCGCCATGAGATGGTTGGGTGAAGTTGGAAAGAGATCAACGGTGTGGTAGGAGATGAGTCAGCGGACTCGCTGGTTCCTTCCCAACCGAGAAGTTTCCTTTTTTTTTTCCCCTCAGCCACACTGGCAAGTGGACCACTGGTCCAAAGTGATACATTTTGGTAATAAAATCTGGTGTAAAGTGAAAGCATTCAGTTAATGGTGGTCCAATGTGAAACCATGGTTAAAAAACATGGACCAATATGCAATTTACTCAACAAAATAATACCTACAATATCTACTCATCCTTTGAGGTAGATGAGACCATGAAGCTTCCAATAACATCGCTAGGGCTTAAAGCATGGGGCACCACCAGGTTCTGCCCTGAATCCGAGCTGATATGGCAATTCACTGTAGAAGGTGCACAACTCTGTCTCACACCCAACTCCGGCTTTCCAGCAAAGCACTGAGCCATTCCATCACAACCCAAAACATTATCAACTCCACATTGTGCTTGGATCGGGCAACTACCCAATGCACCATTGATCCTCGATCGCACATCCACCAGTAACGACCTCAACCGTACCACCTCCACCTCAAGTGCAGCCTGCCCTTGCAGCCTCTTCACCAGCTGCTGGTTAATGACACGGAGCCTCTTCACTTCCTCTTCCAAGTGTGCTGTATGAGCCTTCTTCTTCTGCCGGTATTTGCGGACAGCCTCGCGGTTGCCCAATGGCTTGCGGCTCTTCTTTGGCTTGGCTTTGTCACCTCCACAACTATCATCATCTGAGCTGAAGACACGGGTGTGAGTGTGGTAGCATGTATGGGTGTGCTCTGTTGCCGATGGACCAGGCGGGTTGCAAGTATGAGTGTGTGTGCATGTTGTCCTGATGCTTGGCAGGAAGTCATCAAGGCTGGTTGGAATCTCTGGATTTGGAAACATCATTTGGCTGGAAAGCTCTATCTCCCCGTCATCCATATTTTTTCACCCAACTTAGAAGATGCAGATGACTAAATGAGTGGGCGGATATATAAATTCTTACACCAAATAGGCCCTGTATAAAGTTCAGAAAATTCACAGAATCAGATAACAGTACCAGGTTGGATTGTTCAGAGAGTAGAGAAACTAAATTCAAAAAAAATGTTTCCTCAAGTAAATGAAATAATCTAGGTTAAACATTGGCATAACTACTGGACAGAGACATGGCAGTTTATGCTGCAAATGTATATTTGAAGCTAACCTAACAATTGCAACCTTTGACATTGCCCTGTTGTTCAAAAACCTAAATTTGTACTAGAATTCTTCAGAACAAAAGGATGTATCAACTATCAAGCATGACTTGACCAGATAGAGCATACATAACAGTTCGTATATAAATAAAGATCAGCATCATGAACCTAACATGTTTCAGGGAAATCAGACACCTAGCATCATTGATGATCATGTTAACTGTAGCACTTCGCGTACAATATTGGGCAGGCAAAATATCAATGAATATAGAACGGTACAGCATAGCCGGATAGCCCAACCCTGAGTAACTATGACTCTATGAGCAACCTAAAGATAATTAACTAGGAGTTATTTCATTAGAATGAAGTAAATGGATAAATATGATCTGTCATTTTTGTCATGCGCAAAAGCATCATAAATTTAGAAGTTGGCCAATCCGGCGCCTAGAAGTCCAATACAACATGTACAATCACCATATGGCCGGAAATTTTGATGCACAAATTAGAAAAAGAATTTGCAAGTTAATTGCAAAGGGAATTAACCAATCATTCTCAGGCGGAGAAAGCACGCACCTTTCACCTGCTGCCAGGACCGCCGGATTGCAGTGTCGTCGCCGGCGTCCGATGCTTCGTGGACTCGCCGTCGACCGGAATATGGAGCTGTGGCCCGCGCCGCCCTGTACGAGGGTTCCCCGGAGGAGGCGTCTAGTCGAGAAGCAGCGCACCAGAGAGCCCGTGGATGCTTTTAGATTAGAAGGCTAGAATGGATGGAGGGGCGGCACGTACCCGTCCGCCTCTCGAGAGAGTCAACACGACGTGTTCAGCTCGGGCAGCATCAACCGTGTCTCCAGTCTTGAGCACACACGTCGTGCGCCACCCAGCCAAGCCACACCTCACTGTCTACCTCAGATTCTGGCCCAGAAATCTCATAGTCCATGTGGCTTACAGGGGTGAATTGACGGTACTGCAAAAGCGAAAGATAATGTAAAACAGGCTTACAAAGAGACCTGAAACTGGCTTATACTGTACCAGTGCACCATCAGATTCAGCACTCTGCGATACAGGTAAAATACGCATGTACAGTCTTGTTTCAGAAACGCATTCCTCTAATAAATCGACGAGTACAAACAGTATAAATTATTTCTACCAGATTTTCTGGTAATTTTCTGCAACGACACTACATCTTCTAAGTGGTAGCTACAGCTATGCTGATCAGATCAGTACGGGCGGCGCCGGCCTTTGTGGCGGCTACTGCTGTTGTCGTCTCCTCTCTGCCGCTTTGCACCTGGCCTGCTACTGCCGGAGCTGCCACCACCACCGCCATAGCGGCCGCCACTGCCGCCATGACGTCCTCCACTGCCGCTACGATGTCCAGCTTGCTGCGGCGGCGGCGAAGCCAGCGGCAACTGTCCACCAGGCTGTTGTCTGCAAAGAAGCAATGAAGATATCATCAGCAATGGAAATGCCAAAATGACATGTAACTGAACAGAAGTCATTTCATCTCATCTCATGCTGATAGGTGATAACATGTTATTAGCTTTTCTGAAGAAAAGATGGTTGGTAGCGCTTACACAACATATACGAGACGACCATCCGGTAACATCATTGGAACCATTGCTGCACCTGGAGGAGCTCTTGGAGCATACAGCATAGGCTGCAAAATGCAGAGCATACAATGGTTAGAAGGGCATCAATCATCCTTTACTACATGTATTTACTCATTGATTGGGCAAAGGGGTCTATGATGATGATGTACTCGTGTACCTGTGCAGTACTAGCAGGAGCAGCACCATAGGCACCTGGTACTGACATGATACCATATCCAAGTGGAGGATAACTCGGGAGCAATGGAGCTCCATTTGAACTAGGTAGTGGTACTCTATCATCCTTCTTATCAGCAGCAGGAGGTTTCGCAAGTGAGCAATCCAGGACCTGACCTGTTAAGAGAAATATGTGAGACCTTGAATGCACCAGACAAACCAGACTAAGCATAGTGGGACATTTTTTGGGGGAATACGCAAGCATAGTGGGACATTACAGCGCAAGAGGAAAGCTCACCATCAAGCTCATATCTCTCTGTGTTCTGCAGAGCCCTCATGGCCATGGATCTGTCCTTAAAGTGAACAAAACCATACCTATTATCATGACCTCCTCTTGAAGGAGGAAGAACAACCTTTTCAATTTCACCATGGTGCTCAAACAGCCTTTTCAGCTGTGCTTGAGTAACATTCTTGGGCAGATTTTTCACATATACAGATTTAACCTGAAAACACACGCAAAATAATCAAGTTCAAATAAAACATCATGGTATAAGAATTATACACAAACAAAGTAAAATTGTTCATGTTATGCTTGAACGAACCTGAGAAGTAGAGGCCGAGTCGTTATTCTTAGGATCTGCCCAGCTGACTGTAGGAGCATTTGAATCTAGTTTGAATGTTGGGGAAGACATCTCCTGCCTTGCATACTCTGCACATGCATGGTTGTAGTATTCAACAAAACCATAACCCCGATTGCGATTTGCACTTGAGACCTACAAGTACAAAGAAATTTTTAGGAGAAACAAGATCGAGGGTGCATAACAAAGTTGTTGAACTACCCAGATCCATACCTTCATGAGATCAGCTTTTAATACTCCTGGACCAACTTCCTCCACAACCTTTCTGAAATCATCATCTGTCCAACTATGGGGTACATTTCCAATAAAAAGCTTGTTCTTAGCCTGCGAGGAAGAAACCCTTATCCGCTTTCCCTGTAACGAGAAGCATAATGAAAAAATTCAGTAGGTATAAAAGATCAAGATAGATAAGTTGTCAGCTATAACAGGGAACCAGGAGATATTCTGCACATGTGTGTGATCAAGGCAGCAAAGCTATGTTTTCCAAAATTATTGGTAAGAGAACATAAGCTACCACTACTCCCAATCATGAACAAGTGTTTCCTGTTAATGGCATAATCAGTAGTTTTAACCAAATATTACACGTTACAAAACCATGATATTACTAGAGATCATGTATAGTAGATATGTGTGTGCCCCTCCCTCTTTCTTCCTACATATCCAGGGAAACAGGGAGCACAGCTGATGTGTGAAATTACTGTGCTATGTCAAAATCAACAGAAGTCAACTGCAGATATAAGTGCAATAAGACTGAAAAAAAATTAAAAAAAAGGAAAGCTTATTGCATGATAATATTCGAGTGAAATCACTATTTTGTTCTCTACCAGTTCACATTTGGAAACTGCAAAAGGTGTAGTAAAAATGTCCAGAACTTGCTTGATCAATTACCAATCTTAGGTTAAAAATCAATGGCACTGATGGAGTGACAGTATAGACATTTCTCAAGTTCAACAGAAAACAAACCTTCAGTTTTGCATTGTTCAATTCTTTGACAGCCTTTAATGCCAAACCTTTTGTTCTAAAATTAACAAAAGCATATCCCCTGCTATCGTCCTTTCCTCTCATCATTCTCACCTGCATAAAACGGGAGAATATGTAATTCAGAACAAAACAGGCCACATGGAAACATAAAATGAACAATGTAAGCAGTACTTACTTCCACAACTTCTCCAACTGGTTCACATAGTCTCTTCAGATCTTCAGAAGATACATCACTGGAGATGCCTCCAACATATACTTCAGAACCATGGGGAGGAAGAGCAAGAAGCTCAGCATGCTTTCCCTTTTCAGTAACATCCTTCTGGTGAACACCTTTAGTTTTACTTACACCTTCAGTTTCATCAGATTCCTCTTCTTCCTCCTCATCTTCCTCCTCATCTACCTCCTCAACTTCCTCCACGACATCTTCATCCTCCTCTACCTCCTCCTCTTCTATCTCCTCCTCAATTTCTTCATATTCAATTTCCTCCTCTTCTACCTCCTCCTCCTCATCATCATCAAACTCCAAACATTCTTCTGATTTTTCTGGTTCAACTGAATTGGCAGAAGCAGCATTATCTGTCCTCCTTGGCATCTTGAAAAGCTCAAAGTTCCAAGGCAACTTTGGAAAGAGCAAAGGAGCCAACAATATTGGGAGAGCAAAGTGATGATACAAGGATAGGAAGAAAAACAACCAAATAAACAAGAGTACTTGTTATGCAATAATGTCAAACAGGATGCAGCCATGGGTATCCAACTGGATAGAAAGAAAATGTATATGGAACAAATGAGGAAACAGTGGTATGGTTACAAAGGATTACACGGGGAGGTTCTCAAGATACAATCCCCAATCAGCATGGACAGCAAGAGCATGCAAAAGAGGGGAAGCAAAGATGATGCAATGCGAAGAATAATCAACAAGCTGATGATGCCAATATATTCCGTGAAATGGAAGGGAAAGGAAAAGAAAAGAAAAAGGCACAGAGATAAAAGCACGATGAGAAATAGAATACAATTTGCATAATATGATATCTGAAGTAAAAATCTAATTCCTGAGTAAATAACATGACAGCAGTTGAGAGTCTGACTAATAACAAAGAATGGAGCAAAATGCTAACTGGAACAATTTTCAAACAGCAAGCAATCAACCTAGCCCTTGCTTAATTTTTAGGATCTTAAGTACCATATAGATAATTACATGCTGACTCTATTTTTCGTTAAGAAAGAGATATCACCTGCACTGTTCAGCACATTGCAATTTTCGCATAAGTTAAAAAACAACTATTAGGACCTAAAATTAATGGACTGAATATATGAGTAAAGTTTGTTCGTTTATATACAAGGGCCTGTACAAACATATTAGATCGAAGAAGTAGATTAGTGCTCTCGTTTCCAAATAGCACAAGATAGGTATTGGGAAGGAGAAATATTAACGAAATGACGCAATCCAGCAATCGGAAAGGATAAATTTCGACGAACTAGCGCGACCCCAACAATTGAAAAGAAGAGATCTTGACGAGCGCCTTACTGCTGCTGCCGCTCCCAAATCGCAAGGCAAAGAACAACCAAGAACGTAACAAGATTGGAATCAGAGATTTGGTTCTCACCTTGGGGAGGTGTGGTCTGGTCCCGAGCAAATTAGGGGGAATAAGCCACCTGCGAGCCCTAGTCTCGAGCTGGAAGGAGAGGAATACGATGGGAATGGAGATTTGCATCCAGCCCCTCGATTTTTTCACTGATTACAAATTCATCCTTGACGAAGAGTCCGGCTCAGCCCAATACAGGAAATGTCCCTGAGGCCTTGGACCATGGCGGCCATATAAAATCTTGATGGGCCTCCAATGTGCGGCGAAATGCACGGCAGTGTTTTGTTTCTTTCAAACTTCCAAAAATTCCCGTCACAACAAATATTTAGACACATGTATGAATCATTAAATATAGATAAAAAACCAATTGCACAGTTTGTATGTAAATTACGACACGAATCTTTTGAGCCTAATTATACAATAATTTGACAATGTGATGCTACAGTAAACATTTGCTAATGACGGATTAATTAGGCTTAATAAATTCGTCTCGCAGTTTACAGGCGGAATCTGTAATTTGTTTTGTTATTATTCTACGTTTAATACTTTAAATGTGTGTCCGTATACTTAAAAAAAATTGGCACACGAACAAAACGCGGCCTAGGTTAATCAGACTCAGCGAAATATTACTCGATTAATACAATTGAAAGGAGAGAGAGAGTCAATGATGCATATATGATTGGACAGGACTTCATGTAGGGCCTCATCTTTTCTCTTATACTTATACTTATCAGTCAAAAATTAAATTTTCAACCTTAAATTTGGAGCTGCTTTTCGTTTATACTTATACTTATCAGCCAAATTTTGAATTTTCAACCGTAAATTTGGAGCTAATTTTGAGGTTTTTTTCATCGAAGTTTATTTTTTAGCCTTTGCTTTTAGATCTTTAAGAACATATATATAAAAAGTTTTATTCACAAATTACTTTTTATTTGCAAATATGTCGTTTCTCTTAGTTCGCAAATAAGCGAAATGATGGCTTCGGTATTCTTGTTGCTAGCTTTTAATGAACCTAAAGATAGTACTACTTACCCCCCCCCCCCCTTTGATTTCAAATTTGAAAGATTTTAATCATATCGAAAAAATTCCTATAAAAATTCCTATAAAAGCATTTGAAACAAGGATTGAATCATATCATTTTGTGTAAATTTCACAAACTACATGTATGTTGACCAAACTATCACAAAACAACAAATTTGGCACCAAATTTCTCACAGAACTACAGATTTAATGTGTTTAAAAAATAAAACAACATATTTAATATTGAATTCATCACAAAAGTACATATTTTAGAATTTAAATCCCTAACACCATTGTTATGTTGGAGCAATAAGTGTTGTAATTTTGTGACTAAAATGGTTCTAAACCCATAGTTTTGTGATAATTTTGTTACTAAATATGTAGTTTTGTGACACTTCATCTTAAACGTATAGTTTTGTGATAAATTTAGTGTTAAATCTGCTGTTTTGTGATACACTAATTAAATTTTTAGTGCTTTAGTCATAATATTTGTAGTTTTGTGAATTTTTCTCTCATTTTCTTTAAAATTTTTAGAGGAAAGTTAACAAGAGCTCTAACCTCTTTGAAAATTTCTTTGAAGTCTATCTCTTATCCTGATTCTTATAGCCTAATCAAACGATCATTCGTGTTTTTTTCCTGTGTTTTATAATTCTCTATTTGGTATTTGCATTTCTATCAAAATCCTTTGTTTTTTTTTAAATGTATCTTTTTTTAATCCTGTGTTTTAAAGAAGCCCTTAGTATTAGAGTTTATAGGGTTTAGGAGGATACTCCTATATCGTAGGCAGCAGTAAGGGCAAGTACTATGATGCTTAATGTGTTGCCTCTAAAAATATCATGTATGATTGGATGATGAGGTGGAAGTAATAATTGAGGAAAGAGAAGGTGAGCCCCCTATCATGCAAGGGGCAACCTCCACACAAACCCCAAGAAAAAGAAGATGAAAGAAAGAGGGGATTGGACAAACAAATAAAATAAAATTATTTGGGTTATAATAATAGAGGTGGTGTAGATATGGTGTATTATATATATCACCTCTTATCTTACATGGATAAAATTAGATGTGACAACTATCCCTATTATAAAACTTGCCCTAAGTACGAGTAGGAAGCTAGCAAATCCCTTTCTCTTCTACTACCCTGACCTACTAGTCACTCAATATACTATCTTCACTGTAATGACACTTTGCGTCATTTCCTTGCTGCATTTGTTTGTCTTTTGGTCCTTTCTTGTTGCACTTTGAGTAAAACTGAAGGTAGTATTTGGTAGCCAGTGGATTATCAGGTTTGGAGCTCTGCATTACTGCATCGTGCACCAAATCATTCATATATAGCACAATCAACAAACAGAATGCTAGTATGCTACGATTAACAACCATGTGACAGTGATGTTAGATGAACACTAGTGCCCAGGGAGCAAGGAGTTTTAACACGATGACTGAATCTTTAAAATGAGAAAAAAAATGAATGCTGCAATTTAAGCATGCATATTTCGAATCACTGATCATTTGTATCCTCTGTAATAATGAATGTTTACAAACATAATACTAAGCAGCTTCAGGCTATCTAAAGATGAAAAAAATGCCGTTGATTTATCAACCTTCATTAATGTACTATGCTTGGTGTTCGACTTTGATCAGTTCTTCTGCTCACCGGCATCTTTCTCCGGCAGCAGCCGCGCACCGGCTTCTGCGTCGCCGTCCTTCGCCGTCGCCATTGACGCGGCCCTCCTCTCTGCCTCCCTGGCCTTGAGCCCCTGCAGCTTGGCATGGTTGTAGTAGGCGACGCCGAGGAAGGCAATGCCATAGCCGACGAGGTTGACCGGCGTGACGGTGTCCTTGATCACTGTCCAGGAGAAGGCGATGAGCAGCCAGTCCTTGACGACGCCGGCCACGTTCATGGTCAGCGCCGACGTCTTCCCCACCAGCAGGAACACCGCCAGGTTGAGCGCGAACGCGCACAGCGAGTTCGTCCCGAACACGAACACGTCGGGCCGGACGGCGGCGCCCGCGGCGGCGCGCAGCCGCGGCAGCTCGACGAAGTACCACGGCAGCGTCAAGAACACGAGGCAGCACGGCGCGATGTAGTAGAGCGAGGTGATGGGGTTCAGCGACATGCCCTTGGAGGTGAGCAGTATCTGGATGAGCACGAGCCGCGTGGCCTCGGCGGCGACGGCGGCGAGCTGCAGCATGACGCCGAACGCGTCGAACCGCGCCTCGCCGTAGGCAGCCACGGCGACGCCCGCGGAGATGCCGAGCATGTTGAGCATGGAGGCACGGCGGAAGGAGTCGGTGCGGAAGGCGACGGCGAGGGAGTAGACGGCGACGGGCATGAGCGCCTTGAGCATCTGGATGAAGGAGACGGAGAGGTAGATGTACGCGGAGTTGGAGAACCAGAGCGACAGCGCGTAGAGCGCGCCGATCGGCACGACGGAGGCGGCGTAGAGGCTGGGCGTCATGGGCGGTGACGCCGGCACGGCGACGACGCGGAGGACGCGGACGAGCACCACGGCGAGGGAGGCGCAGAACGCCATGTGGATCATGGTGAGGGAGATGGGGAATGGCCAGTTGTACATCTTGGGATCAAGGATGTACTTGTTGTACACGATCACCGAGAAGCTGAGTGTGATCCACACGCTCACGTACGCATAGGACAGTAGCACCGACTTGAGCACCGACGGCGCTGGCGCCGGAGAAGAAGACGACGACGACACGACGTCCATGGCCGCGGCGGCCGCAGGGGCCTTGGCGCCATCGTCGCCGGTGCCGCCCATTTGGGCGAGGTAGGAGCGGAAGCTTTGATGCGGCTGGCGAGGTGTGACGCCGGCGGTGGTGGGCGCGCGCGCGTAGAGGAAATGCGTCGAGCAGTTGGTGGGTAATAAAGTTGGCGGTTGTTGCGGTGACGTGCGTTTCTCCATCGTCATGGACGCTTTACGTGTTATGTGCTTCAGCTAATCAGCTCACGATTAGTTGCTGAACTGTACTGGTAATGGTATTGCTGGTTGCTGCGAAGAGAAGGGTCGTTGATACACACTACTCAGTTGCTACTTTGCTCAACTGGTCAACTGCTTGTGCGTTGGATCCGAGGATTAACAATTTAAGATTAATCAGAAACAGAATCAACTGCATAACACCTCTTGTCACTCGAGTATTTGACAAGAACGTGTGCTAAGCTGGCTAACAGCATGCCAGCATCAACCTGCACAGTTGACAAACAAAAGGCAATTGAATGGGAACTCCGATGATTTGAGCTCACTCAACACGCCTCTTCGATTTCATTACTCATATCTCGTTCGAGAATGCCTACCAGAAACTGTTTTTTTCTTTTTCCAAATCGAGAGAGGAGAGATAGATGACTATATATAGGCCGGAGAGGATTTCACAAAACCCACCATAAGCCCATAGGTTTTTGGTGCGAAACGAAACAAATCCGAAAGGAATAAGTTTACGTTGACTCCTTTAACCAGTGGCCGAATCTAATTCTAACCACAATACGGATATCTTGACCCCAAACTATTAAAACTGGTGTAATTTAACTCCCTTAGTAGTTTTGGAGGGTGGTTTTGCTGATGTGACATCAATGTGGCAATATTGACCGGGTCTTCGTTCACGTGGCGTTGATGTAGCGCTTAAGTAGAATTAGAATTAAAAAGGGTATGTGTAGGACCAATTTACACAAAGGATGACATGTGGGGCCCTCTCCTCCCCTTCTTCCTCTCTCTCTCCCTTCTCTCTTTATCTGACTATATATGACAGTGGGGACGGCGGCGGCGTCCGGTGGTTGGCAGCGGCGGCGGAGGTGGGGAGAGGCGGGTGGTTGCCGCTTGCTAGGTGGGAGCAGCGTGTTGGGGCCAGAGGAAGGGCGGCGACAGTGGCAAGCGGAGACATTGGCGTGGTGGGTAGCGAAGACGGAGGCATCCGGTGGTGCGCACAGATGTCTTCCTTGGTGTCACCACCCGCCTCCCTTGCCATGTCGACCGCGTCCACATCGGGTGGAGCCACACCCCCACCGCTCTTCTTCTACAGCTGGATCGACGCCCGTCCTTGCCGCCGCCATGGCGTGCAGGCCGGCCATGTGCTCCCCATCCGCCCTCGCGCCGCTGCGCCACCGCCTTTTCCTCCTCGGCTACGTGTGCAACGCAGCTCCCTCAGGGCGCCGTTGCTCCCCACCCCGCCGCCGCCGCTCCCACCGCCGCTCCACCCAGGTGAAGAGAAAGGCCCCATGGGAGGGGGGAGGGAGAAAGAGAGATAAGAGAGAGAGGGGGGAGGAGGGAGAAGGGAAGGAGAGAGAGGGGATGACATGTGGGCCCGTATAATAAGTGGGTCCCACAATTATTTTTGTGTGAGTGACAAATGGGTACTACATATATTTTTTAATTCTAATACCACATAAATGTTGGATGAAGACTGGGTCAACACCGCCACGTCAGCAAAACAGTTAAAGTTAAATTGCACTGGTTTTAATAGTTAGGGGTCGAGATATTCGTACTGTGGTTCAGGGATACGAATTAGATAAGGTCACTAGTAAAGGGAGTCACTCCCGAACTTATTCCAATCCGAAACCTTTTGAAGGAAACGGCCCAATTAAATGCCCGAATCATTCTTCTCGGCCCACTCTGATCTGTCCAGCATCACATTCGCCGCTAGCGCCGGCTCCCTCGCCGCCGCCGCCACCCCCATCTCCGCCGCAACCAAGGTTTGAAGCTTACTGGGAGGGAGGGGGAGCCCAGGAGCGAGCCGCTGGCTGGGTAGAGAGGAGGGATCTAGTCGAGAGAGATGGGGTGGAAGGCTGCGGAGAAGCTCATCAGACACTGGAAGATCCTCCGCGGTGACAACGTAATTATCTTTCCCCGTCCTCGCATTCCTCTTCGCCCCTCTCCTCTTTCTAGCAAAATCTCCAATTTCGGCGCTGTTTATTTCCAGGTGATGATCATAAGAGGCAAGGACAAGGGGGAGAGCGGGCTCATCAAGCGGGTCATTCGGTCGCAGAACCGTGTCATCGTCGAGGGAAAGAATTTGGTAAGTTATTGCTATACTGACGCACCCTCCTCCAGAAATTGTCAAATACTGCATAGATTTTGTGCTGATTGGTTGAAAGATTTCAAGGTTTTGTGTCATCGGTTTAACTGGTTCAGAAAATTACCGTTTATTATTTAGCCTGATGCAAACTACTGCATTTTTTTCCTTTTTTTTTTTGAAAAGGTTTTAAGCCCAACTATTGAAAGTTTAGAATAGAGGCACAAAAGCTTCATTTAATAATGAGATAAAAGAGCTTACAACGCTGTATCTGTCAGATGGCAGTATGTGACCTGATCTCCATGGTGCACTCGTTTTTTTTTTAAACTCCCAAGTCCTGAGTTCAGATTAGTCGTAGGAGCTGCAAACATAGTTTTTGACTGCTGTCACAAACATAGCTTATGACTTGCTGTAACAGATGTAAGCTCGACCATTGTTTCCATTGGAGTGTTGTTCATACGAATTTGAACCTGTAAATACTCATAACGTAATATTATTCCGCGGACTATATATCCATCATGGCACAAGGATAGCATAATATGAAGAGAGTTTTTATCAAGAGGATTTGGATACCTGTGCATATCATCGTATATAGAGAGTGGTGTTTATGATAAGCTCAACAATTAGCTATGCGTGATCCAACAAAAGCAGTGGTCAAATAATTTAGCATCTGCCTTTATGCATAGAATAATCAGAAATTGTAGATGCCTGCTGGATCCTTGTGTTCTATGTACTGCATAATGGTACATGCTGTATCTATTTTGGATCATATCATGTGTGTTTGTATCATTTGTATGCCATAACAAAGAGGAGTAAATACTGAATTAGTTTCGTCCAGTATCCAGATGGATCTTGAGGAATTGATTTTAATGGGTGCAATAGAAGAATGGTGAAACTGTAAAAACCTTGTCCTTCTAAAATCTTCACATGTTTGTTGTTACGTGTCACATTTTTCTTTTTGACTACTGGGCAGCTGTAATCAGTACTCCCTCTGTTTCACAATGTAAGTCATTTTAGCATTTAGTATTTCCCACATTCATATTGATGTTAATGAATCTAGATAGATATCTATCTAGATTCATTAACATCAATATGAATGTGGAAAATGCTAGAATGACTTATATTGTGAAACGGAGGAAGTAACAACTAACGACAGACAACAGTTTCTTGTTCTTATGTATGTGAGTGTTTTCTCTTGTACATAAGAGTTTGGATAATAATAATTGTGCCTTAATATCATTTCAGGTTAAGAAACATATTAAGCAAGGAGAAGGACATACAGGTGGGATTTTCTCAATTGAAGCTCCACTTCATGTTTCAAATGTTCAAGTACTTGATCCAGTCACTGGGTATGATACTTAACCATCCATCTTGTCATCTAGATAGAATATTTTTTTCTTCCATTTCTACTGCAGTTTACTGGTAAAAGGTAAATTTATCCACACAACGCTGGCAACAGGAAACCATGTAAGATTGGATACAAGTATTTGGAAGATGGAACTAAAGTCAGGTTTGCTAGAGGAATGAATGCATCTGGTGCTGTGATACCCAGGCCAGAAATTTTGAAGGAGCGAAGAAAGCCAAGACCTACATCACGTATGTCTCTGTTCATTGCATGGTTCCCTTGTCAAGTGCATATATACTTTTGTGGTGTCTATGCTGTTCTTTTCCTGGATCAGAAATTAAGCTGTACCAGTTTGATGTTCAACTGAGATCACAATAATAATAAATACTAATAAAGGAAAGCATCAAGTGCTTATAATAATCTTTGGTACTGTAACATCATGCATAATTACTAGTTTACTACAGTAGATGTTTCTTATGGTGTTTGCTGTTTGGCTTGTGGTACTATTGTTTGTTTTGTAATTGTTCTGCATTGGAACGATAATAGCAGTTAACTAATAATACAAACTGAAAAAGAAAAATCATGACTCTGATCTATCCATGACCTTTACATACCTGGAGTCAAAATACTAAATATGTTTGTTACATGCCTTTGTATTTTGGCTATCTATTATCGAATGACTAATATGTAATTGACATGCAAGCAAATGCGTTCTATTTCCTGTCAAAGTGTCAATATATTACTCGGCATATGATGTATATATTTTCTTTTTTTTTTGTGAGGAAACTAAATTTGGCCATTTTGTTTCATTCATGCAGCTGGCCCAAAGGATACACGAATTGAACATGTGCTGGAGAAAACCTATGATGCCAAGGCTGGAATTGGGATGCCTGATCTATAGGTTAGTGCTGTCTGGGTTGCAGAGTTCATTGTATGTGTGGCAACACCCCAGTTCAGATAGCAGGAAGTCTTTCTTCAACTTTGCACCTGTATTGCTCTCGAAATAATTTTGTTATGGTCATTGAAAAAACATTACCCCACATGTTTTTAGTCTCTGCTTTGGTTAGAATCTTTATCCCACTGGAAATGCACATACAGTTGGTAAAAAAAGTTCAAATCATATATTCTGTTCTGATGACGCCTAAGCCGCGGCAGGGGCTTCTTCTGCCACATCATCTCTCTTCTTCTTGTCGCACGGCGGCTCGGAAACCTGCGGCGCCGGCTGCTGCTGCACGAAAGCAGCGGATTCCTGGCGCGCCGCGGAATCCGGAGGCGCCCGCGGGGACACGTACATCCGGCAGATGACGGGCTCCTCGTCGCCGGCGACGGCTTGCTGCCGGCAGCAGTGGTGCTCCTCCATCAGCCAGTCGGTGTAGCTCCCGTCCTTCTTGAAACGGAAGTTCTGCGTCTCGCCGACCTTGACCCCCGCCTTGTTCTTCACCTCCTTGCTGTTCTGCCTCACCCAGGTGCCAGCCCCCGCCGTTCGCTCTTTCTTGGTGCTACTCCCCTTGTGCCGCTTGCAGCTAGTGAAGAAGAACCTGCCGCCTTTCTCGCACCTGGGCACCGGCGCGAACTTTCCGGCGAGGTCACTGGGCTCGCTGCCGTAAACATCAGCGCGGCAGATGAATTTCTCGGTGTCTTTCATTGGCTTGCCGGCGATCAGCCGTGGCAGGTAGAAGGTGATGAGATCCTCTGCAGACGGGTTGAAACGAAAGCCTAAACTGAGCATCTTCTCGACGTGTTTCTCCATCAAATCGAAATTTCGTAAGCGGATCGGAGAAACGAAAACACGTATGCATTGCGCGGGAAACTTGTTTAACTACAGAGACATTGCGATGTAGACATGTACTACGTGACGGTGAGATGGATACAGGATTTCGACACAAATTCAGACATAGAAGCAGACACCGATTCAAACTTGGAATCGATTCAGTGGCTATCGACGAAGCTCTTGACGGCGTCGACGAGCTCCCGCGCCCGCGCCGCCGCGACGGGGTGGGACTCCACGGCGAACCAGTTGAGGTAGAACACGTGGCCGATCCCGCGGCCGTGGCTGACCACCGTTTCCACTGCCTTGCCCGCGCGCGCCATGGCCTCGCCGTACTCCACCTGCGCGTCGCGGAGCATGTCCTCCTCCGCGACCATCACCAGCATCGGCGGCAGCTGGGCTCCCTCCGCCGCCGTCACCGCCGCCGCCGGAGACGTGTACGGGTGGTCCCTGCTGGTGGTTCCCACCGGCAACGCGAGCATGACGAACTTGTCCACCGTCTCCTGCGTCATGAACGGCGTGGGAGGGTTCTCCAGCTCCGACGGGCTCTTCTCCGGCAAGATGAAGCCCGGGTGGAGGAGGACACCGCCGGCGAGGCGTATCGGGTCGAGAGCCTCGGCCCCAGCCTCGCCGGCGCGTGCCGCCACGTTGTGCACGAGGACGCCGCCCGCGCTGTCGCCGATGAGGAACACGCGGGAGAAGTCGGCGGCGTCGCGAAGGCGTTCGACCGCATGGTGCGCGATGGTGTCGCTGGTGCCGCACGCGACGTCACGGAGCCAGAGCAGCGCGGCGTGTCCGGCGTCGATGGCGGCGGGGAGGCGGTGCTCCGGCGCGAGCGGGAGGACGACGGAGACGATGCCCGCGACGTCGAGCTCCACGGCGAGGCGGGCGTAGAAGCGGTGGTAGAGCGACCACGCGGCGTGGGACAAGCAGAAGCCGCCGCCGTGGAAATGGACGAGAACAGGGCGGCGCCCGGCCGGCGTCGTCGTCGTCAGGTACAGGCGGACGTCGACGCCATGGTCCGTGGCGACGTCGTGGACGGTGACCCCGTCCCGTGGGTCGTCGTACGGCGGGACGAGGACCATGAACGCGGCGGCTTCCGGCGGGCCGAGGCGGTCGACGGAGCCGTCGGAGTAGACGCGGATCCAGTTGGTGACGGACTCGACCAGCGTCCTGGTCGTCGTGGTCGGGTTAGCCGCCTCTTGACGCTCCTTGGTCGCGGCCATTTGTGGCAATGTTGCCATGGCAGCAGCTGGCCAGATGATCGAGTACGTAGCAGTGAAAATGTGAAATGAACTGGCTATGCTGCGTTTGTGTTTTATAGACGCAGCACGGATTCACGGCGAGCATGGATGACCTGGCCTTGCAAACTCTGCGCGCATACGTACGTCGTGTGGACGCGCTGGCTTGACGCCATCGTTGATTGGCTCAAGTCGTCTTTAATTTGTTGTAGTATGTTAATTTGAGTCTTTCACTTAGTCTTGGTGAGTCGTTTCGTCTCGGTCTAGCTTTAATAAAGCTCGATCGACAGAAAATGGTGGCCTTCTTCGCACCTAACACTTCCGATAAAATGGTGTGTCCTATCAAATCTCTCTGGAATGGAGGATTACTATTTTGCTCCAATAACTTATAGGTTGATATATAGTAATGTGGTTGGAATGTCCATGTCCAAAACCAACTACAGGCCTACAGGCTGCTCAACTTATTAATTAAGTTAATTTGCTTCTTCGTTGGAGTTTCAGTTCGTATTTGCTAAAGTCAGTCAACTGCAATTCCCTAAATCCCATGCAGTTGACTAACAATAGCCGTTGGATAGATCAAATTGCCCTTCAAATATCACTAACACGGAGTCCTTTCCCGGCAAGCCGACGACGGAGCAGTGATGACCAAGCAGCGAAACCACATCGCCAATGCCGCAGTTTTTCAGTGAGTTAGCTGTCATTCGATCGAGGGATGTTCGGGATATGGCACGGCACTAGAACGGATATCCTCATCTCAATCGGGCGGTAAGCCCCATCTCAATCGGGCATGGCGTCCGTCACAGGCTAGAAGTCACTGATGTTAAGAGCTATCTCAATCGAACAAACGGCCGTTACAGATGATTCTATCTCAATCGGGCCCTAAGTAAAGCCCGTCACCGATAGCTTTGACCCAGACGACCAGTCAAACTATAGCCCGTCACAGATGACCTATCTCAATCGGGCCACAACTAGTGCCCGTCACAGATGACCCTTATCTGTGACGGGCATTAACTATGGCCCGTCACAGATGACTAGCCCATCACAGATGACTAGCCCATCACAGATGAGTCATCTGTGACGGGCATTAACTTATGCTAGAGTTAATGCCCGTCACAGATGAGTATATTCCAAAAATAAATAAACTTTATTTTTTGGCTAGCCCTCACTCGTGTGCACCCACGCGGGAAGTTCAAACTTCCCGGTCGGTCACCCATCCCGAAATTGCTCCAGACTAAGCACACTTAACGTCAAAGTTCTATGGAGATTGGCTTTCGGAAAAATAGTTGTAACATGTTGTATGAGTATTCTATTAATCCTATTATGCCCTAGGCCAGGATATCAAATTAGGGTTATTAAATGATTTCAAATGGAAAAGTCACCAAAATCAAAGTTGTAGAACTCATCGAGGTGCAAAATTTTTATTTTGGTCATTTCTCCATCTGACTCTATTTAAACAATTCAAAATTTGAAATTCAAAGTTTGAAAAGTTCAAATAGAATTTTAGATCAGTGAACGACTTCAACTGAAAAAGTCATCAACAACAAAGTTGTATAACTCATCAAAATCTATAACTTTTATTTTGGTCATTTTTTTATATAACATTTTTTGAACCGTTTGAATTTGAATTTGAAAATATGACAACTTCAAACATCATTTTTAAATACTAAATGATATCAACTGAAAAAGTCATCAACAACAAAGTTGAATAACTCATCAAGATCTAAAACTTTTATTTTGTTCATTTCTTCATACGACAAAGTGATAATAACATTGTTCACAAAATTGACATATCTCTTATCTGGTTTTATAAACTATAACACATATATGTAAAATTTGTGAATAATATTACTAACATTTCGTCGGATGAAGAAATAACAAAAATAAAAGTTTTAGATCTTGATGAGTTATTCAACTTTGTTGTTGATGACTTTTTCAATTGAAATCATTTAGTATTTGAAAATGTTGTTTGAAGTTGTCATATTTTTAAATTCAAATTCAAACTGTTCAAAAAAATGTTATATTGAAAAATGACCAAACTAAAAGTTGTAAATATTCATAAGTTATACAACTTTGTTATTGACATTTTTCTATTTGAAATCATTTACTACCCGTAAAATTATTTTGACTCATAAAATGAATTATTATACTGCACTAAATTATTTTGCTATAGTCAACTTACAAATATAAACATTTCATATGAAAAATGGAAAAATAGTCATCGGTAACGGGCTTTAGTTAATGCCCGATAGAGATTAAGTATATAGCCCGTCACTGATGAGTCATCTGTGACGGGCCTAGTTGTTATCTCAAACGGGCCTCAAGTTGGTGCACGTCACAGATGATGGTCATTTGTGACGGGCCATAACTTGAGACCCGTTTGAGATATGGAATGTTATCTCAAACGGACCTAAAGTTGTGGCCCATCATAGATGATGGTCATCTGTGACGGGCCACAACTTTAAGCCCGTTTGAGATATAGAATGTTATCTCAATTGGGCCTAAAGTTGTGGCTCGTCACTGATAGGTGTCATCCGTGACGGGCTTAAGTTTTATGCCCATCTAATATGTCTGTGCGACCATATCTCAATCGGACACTTTTCGGCCCGATTGAGATGACTTCCTTGTGACGGCCCGCTATTTCTAAACATATTAGAGCCCGTCACAGATAGAAGGATCTGTACTAGTGCGGTGTGAGAGGAGGAGATAGTTTTTCATAGAGAGAACTGCTCGAGCGGTTTCTAAAACTTATGCGGCCATACGGGTGTGTCATCTAGGTCTCTTAAGATGCATTTTTGATCCTAAACTTATCTTAGGTGTTATATATATAGTTCCAAATAAGCTTTAACTTGTTCCATGCGCTGATATGGCAATGCCACGGCAGTGCCTACGTGTTAGTCGGACCTATGTGTCAGTCATATAGGGAAAAAAACATATTCTATCCTCTCTACCTTAGATTTTTTTAAATCTTTTTTCTATCTACTTAAGAGGAGAAAATATGGTTTTTAATTTTATTTTTTATATATGCTTGATATGTGGATTCCATTAATTGACACGTAGGTGCCACCATAGCAATGCCATGTCAGCGCATGGAGCGGGTTAGAACTTGTTTGGACCTATATTACACCTATGACAAGTTCAGGGACCTAATAACCTAAATGACCCACCCACACAAGTTTATGCACTTCATTCTTTTTTTCATACTTTGATGTGCGATTTCCCCTCGTTGATTCATGTCATATTTGTTCTTTCTTTTTCAGATTTTATAGGTCAAATGAATAATCATGCATGTTTATGAAATGATATATATCGCATATGAATAATTTAATTATCTTATTATATTTTTTTGTAACTGTTTAGATGTCATGTAAAAATGAAAGGATATTTCCTTAAGAGATAAAAGTATTTCTCTATAGGAGAGTCATCTAGTGTCATATTTTTTGAGAGGCCATTAGAGGGCGATGAGGTGGTGGATGCTTGTGAGGTAGGCCTGAGAGACAATACTTGTATTTATTTTTAGAACTAGAGAGACTTGTTGGGTTATGATTACTTCCTGGCTATATATTCGAACCTTAGAGTAGTATATGGATCATTCAAAAGTGATATATAGCGTTTGAAAATATCAAGCAACCAACAAATACTATAAGATATCTTAGGGTTTCTTTATTTCCACCCCGACGAAGTTTTTTTCATGTAAACACACAACTAGTACGTGTAGTTCGGTGCACACTAACATGTAACTATACAAAGGGTTATCATATAAGGGTTTAAAAACCATCATAGTATATGAAAAAAAATGTTTTTGTGTGTCAGTAATATCAATATGTTACTATTGGAACCACATACTTAATGGCTTCCAAAAGAATGATAAGATATCTTTTGAACCATTAAGAACGATAAGAATGGTTTCTTTATTAGTAGAAAAAAAACTATATTGTTAAGCAATCATATTCTTGCGGTGAAATATGTGATTTACCAGTCGAATAAAATGTGCATCTAATCCTAGTGTCCACGAATATTACACACCCGACTACCCCAGTGTGTTGTCGATAGGAATTTATGGGGCCAAGGATATGGCATTGGTCTCATTCTCTAATTTGAATGTAAGTTGAGGGCCACACTTGTGAATATGGTGGTATATGTGCAGTCTTCGGTGTAATCGGGAAAAACGCTGCATGTAATTGGATGCCAATATGCTCATGCATACTGAGTATGCTCTATTTTATTCACGCAGGAAATTTAACAGGGAAGTTTGAACCCAACTAGAAAACATTCACCAAACCGATCAAACTAGGTGTAACAAACATGCAGAAACTGAACACAACATACATCCATGCACGGATGGAGATGGACCAGTGCATGGCTAAAAGATAGATGCACCTGCACATACGAATTATCTCACAGGACATGCATGCATGCAATACATGCATGATCTTCATTGCAAATTGCTATTAGGGAGAATCAGTATCTGTCGATAAATGTCTTGATGGTGTCGATGAGCTCCCTTGTCCGCTCCGCCGTGAGGGGGTCGGACTCCACCGCGAAGAAGTTGAGGTAGAAAACGTGCGCCACCGCGCCCCGGCTCACCACCGTCTCCACCGTCTTCCCAACGCGCGCCATGGCCTCGCCGTACTCCACCTGCGGATCATGGAGCAAGTCCTTCTCCGCCACCATCAGCAGCATCGGCGGCATATGCAAGCGCGCCACGGCCTCCGCCGCCAGCGACGGCGAGGTGTACGGGCTGTCTTTGTTCATCCCCAATGGCACCCCGAGCGCCAGGAGCTTGTCCACCATCTCCTCCGTCAGGAACAAGCTCGGCGGGTTCTCCAGCTCCGACCGGCTCTTATCCTCCCGTGCGAACCCCGGATTGAGAAGTACCCCGCCGGCGAGCCTCACTGGGTGGAGATCAGCCCCCGCGCCGTCATCCTTCGCCGCCGCGTGTGCCGCGACGAGGTGCACGAGGTTGCCGCCGGAGCTGTCGCCGATGAGGAACACGCGCGCGAAGTCGGCCTCGTCACGTAGGCGTTCCACCGCCGGATCAAGGTGGTGGGCGGCGCCGTTGTTGTTCTCGTCCTCGCCGCAAGCGACGTCCCGCAGCCAGAGAAGCGCGGCATGGCCAGCGTCAATGGCGGCAGGGAGGCGGTGCTCGGGCGCAAGGGGGAGGAAGACGGAGACGATGCCGGCGACGTCGAGCTTCGTCGTAAGAGAGGCGCGTAGAAGTTGTGGTAAAGAGCCCACGATGGACTGGAGAGACAGAAACCACCACCATGGAAGTGAAGGAGGAGAGGACGCCGCCGTGGCCGGTGCGCGGTTGCCGGCTCGGCCGGGAGGTAGAGGCGGGCGTCTACACCCCTGGCCGTGGTGACGTCGTGCACGGTGACGCCATTGCGCGGCTCGGTGTAGGGCGGGACGATGACGGTGAAGGGCTCCGCGCCCGGTGGTGTCAGCCGCTCGACTGTGCCGTCGGAGTAGAGGCGGAGCCAGCCGGTGATCTCCTCGACGACGGTCTTGCTAGGATCGGTCTCCGGCGCCGTGGTTGTGGAGGGCATTTCGCTATTTCAGCCGTGGACTCTCTTGCTATCTTGGCTTTCTCTCGAAAGCCGGATCATATATATTGGGCTTGTTTGGGGAGGTTATAGCTGATGCAGCTCCTTCTAGAATTAGAAACTCTCTCAAACGGTCTAGTTTTTTATTTAGATTTTAAGAAGATATAGTTGTAAAATTTAAAAAATAAACTAGAAAACAAAAGTTGGGAAACACAGATTTTTCATATTTTTAGAAGCTAGCTACCAACCAGTTGCTTTTCAGAACTCTAAATAGACCCCATGATCTGTTTCATTGTTTTTTTTTTTAAAAAAAAAGAAGACCTCAACCGCCTATTTAAAGGTCAGCGAGCTACATCGTTGGTTGTTGGAACAAGGATATGATTAATATCGGCTAACGTGCTGGAGTAGTACTAGTAATACACAAAGTCCAGGAACTAATTAAATAATGGGATAGAATCAAAGAATGAATTTTCTAACGGAACTAATTAAATAATGGGATATAATCAAAGAATGATTTTTCTAACATACTTTACTAGAAGGAAAATAAGTACGAATTACCCCCGAACTATTGCAGCTGTCCGAATTACCCTCGAACTATCGCGGCTGTCCGAATTACCCCCCTAACCACAAAACCGGACATTCTTCACCCCCAACTATGAATACCGGACGAATTACCCCCCTCGACCCAATCCGCGGTGGTTTTGGTCTACACGTGACAGTTCAGTCAGCATTCTATTTAAAAAAAATTGTGAGACCCACCTGTCATACACAACTCTCTCTTCTCTCTCACACACACTCTCTCTCACTTCTCTCTCACTCTCACTCTTCCTCTCTCTCTCACGGGGTCAGCGGCGGCGGGGGACACGGAGCGGCAGTGGCCGCGGCGCGTGACGTGGAGGCGGCGGTGGTGGGGGATGAGGAGCTCGGCGCCGCTTCCCCCTCCCTCTCGTCGTCGTCGGCGGGGGACATGGAGCGGCGGCGCGTGACGCAGAGGCGGCGGCGGCGGGGGATGAGGAGCTCGGCGCGGCTTCCCCCCTCCCTCTCGGTGGCGTGCGCGTGGGGAGGATGAGGGCGCGAGACAAGAAGGCGGCGGAGGAGGCAAGGTGAGGCGGCGGCGGATGAGGCGAGCGGCGGCGGGAGCTTGCGCTGCTCGAGGCGAGGCGAGCGCGGTGGCAGAGGAGGAGGCGAGCGCGGCGGCAGAGCGCGGTGGCGGAGGAAGCGAGGCGGCAGCGGCGGCGAGGCGGTTGGCAGGGGGACGACGGCAGAGGAGGTGAGCGCGGTTGACGGCAGAGGAGGCGAGCGCGCGGCGGAGGAAGCGAGGCGGCAGCGGCGGTGAGGCGGTTGGTGGGGGGACCATGTCGGCGGTGGGTAGGGCTTCGGCAACCTGTGGGACGCGCTCCCACGGCGGCCGCCGCCTCCTCGTCGTGGCTTCCGTCCGTCCGTCCGTCCCGCAACGCTGCCGCCTCCTCGTCCAGTCATCCCACGTCACCCGCCGCCACCGCCTCCGCGTCCCCCGCCACCGCCGTCTCCTCGTCCGGTTGTCCCACGGCGCCGCCCACCGCCGCTGACCCCGTGAGAGAGAGAGGGAGAGAGAGGAAGAGTGAGAGAGTGTGTGTGTGAGAGAGAAGAGAGAGTTGTGTATGACAGGTGGGTCCTATAATTTTTTTAAAATAGAATGTTGACTGGACTGCCACGTGTACTCCACGTAGACCAAAATCACCGCGGATTGGGTCCAGGAGGGTAATTCATCATGTATTCATAGTTGAGGGTGAAGAATGTTCCGTTTTGCGGTTCGGGGGTAATTCGGACGACCGTGATAGTTCGAGGGGGTAATTCGTACTTTTTCCTATATATATTATTCTCTTTAACTACAAAAGTACAAGTGCACGTGCGTTGCATGTTTCTAGCTCAGCTCTACAGATTTAATTAGAGATCTCTTCTACCGGTTTGACCGATAACACAAAAGACATGTCTATATATAACTTCTTATTTTCTCCGTCCAAAATAGATATAATATATAGTTACATTTATCTTAGAAATTTTGTATTTTTCAAAGCCACTTCTCTTAAATTTTGGAGTTTACTTCCGCACGCCAGCTCGCCATTGGCAGAGATAATAACGTGGTCTGGTCCTATTTCGAACAAATCTTAAACTAACGACACTGCACTACACGCTTGATCCGAAAGTTGACCTTAAGCACCTAATTAATTCATTAATTAGTCGGATAAGGCCTAAGAACAGTTTAATAATATAGCCAACGGCTGGCTCTAAATCATTTATAGTCAACTTAATAGCCAATTTATATATTAGGTATTTGTAAACATATACTACATAATTAATATCTAGTCTCACCTGTCATACACGCATGCATCTTGGAGTCCGTACTATAACTGTCTATAAATCTGTATGTTTTATCTTCTCGAAATCTGTTTATAGTTGATTTATAGTCTGCTAGTGTATATGCTGTAAGCATTTCTAGTAAGGAAAAAGTACACCGGAGGTCCCTCAACTTATCATCGAGTTACAAAAATCATCCCCCAACCACAAAACCAGATATATGACATCCCTCAAATTTTAAATCCATTCATTTTAGGTCCTTCAGTGGTTTTGACCCTGTTTTTATACGACGTGGTGGCTGAATCACCATGGAACCCACGTGGGCCCCACCTATCAGGATGCCACATATCATCCTCTCTCTCCTTCCCCTCCTTTCCCTTCCTCCTCTCTCTCTGTATCTCACTTTTCTCCTCTAGCAGGCTGGCCGGCGGGTCGTGAGGAGGTCGCCGGGACGAGGAGGGAGAGGAGAAGGACCGACGGCTAGCAACAGGCGACGCGGGAGGAGGCCGGTTAGGGAGGAGGTCGGTTAGGGCGACGACGGAGGAGCGGGGGCGGTAGGATCATAGGGCCGACGGGCGGTGGCCGCGTGGAGAAAGAGGCCTCCCCACCTCCTCCCTCCCCGTGCGCGCTCGCCGCTGGACTCCCCACTCCCCTCAGCGGCCGTCCCGCTCGTGGCTGGGAGGGCAAGGTGGAGGAGGTCACCGTCGGTCCAAAGGGAGGAGACGGAATCGGCATACCTCAACCTGGGCGTCGCCGCCACCTCCAACTCTACCTCCTGGATCGTCGAGACGAAGATGTGGCCGTGCAAATTTGGTAGCTTAGCGACGTCTGCCGGTCTCCACCGTGGGAGGAGGCAGGAGGAGGACCCAACGCCAACGAGCGCAGTGGTGGGAGATGGCGGGGCGGTGGCCGTCATCGGGCGACGACGCCTGGGCGATCATGGTTCTTGATGACGAGGTCAGCAAGGGAGGTCGGGAAGCCAGTCTGCACGGGGGAGGGCCGGCGTGGGAAGGTGGATGGAGGGAGGAAGGTGAGGAGGCGAACGAGAGGATGCGGCGGAGGAGGGAGCGGAGGAAATCGGAGGCGAAGGCCTCGGCGAGGAGGGAGGAATGGACGGCGTCATTGTGGCGGTAGGAGGAGCCGTCGTCTCCCCTTCTTGCGCATCGGCCATCGCCGGCCGCAGCCGCCCTAGCATCGGCCGCCACCGGCCACCCTCCCTCTCGTCTTCTCCGGCGGTAGGAGGAGCCATCGTCTTGCCTTTTCCCGCGTCGGCCATCGCCGGCCACCGCTGGCCGCCCTCCCTCTCTCCCACCTTGTGCCCGTGGGCCGGCCTACCCAAAGAAGAATGAGAGAGAGAGAGAGAGAGAGTAACCGAGTAAGGGAGAAGAGAGGATCAGGAGAGATGGGAAAAAGAGTGAGTGATGACATGGACACACTGACATGTGGGGCCCACGCCGACTTAGCCATCACGTAGAACAAAACTAGAGCCAAAACCACCGAAGAACCTATTGGGACTAGTTTTGATTAGTTAAGGGACGCCGGATATCTGGTTTTGCATTTGGGGGACGATTTTGTAACTCGATGACAAGTTGAGGACCTTCGGTGTACTTTTTCCAAAATATCATGTCTTGGCCAGGCCCATGCACAGGCCCATGAATCGGTCGAGCCAACCTTGTGATAATGTGCAGGGTTGCGTGATGATAACTCCACATGACCACATGCGTTGCAGCTAGGACGAGCGAGACTTAACGGGAAACTATTTTGATTTGTCGAGAGAATATTTCCTCATTTTCTTAAAAATCATGTTATGAAAAATTCTAAAAAAATTTGATGCTACTCATACAACATATCTATACAACTCCACAAAATCTCAGGTTTGAATTCATCTCACACGTCGAGATATAAAAAAACAAATTCAGCTTATGAATAGTAGCATACTATTCACATATGCATTTTTTTCCTTGAGATGTACATTGAATTTGAATTTGATTTTTGATGTATCGATAGATATCATCGTACAACTATTTGTATCAAATTTAGAAGAAAAATATACATAAGGGATATCCTCAAGTGATTAGAATCCACTCTCGAGTTAACGGGCACACATAATAAGATGCACGTATTGTATTGTCCGTTGCCTGATGAAAACGACCCCACGCTAGCTTTGCTTGTTCCGCAGACATCGTCCTGATGATCTGTGCTATGAAAAATATAATACTCCATCTATCACTAATCACTTACCCTAATCCATTTCCCAAAGCTTCCAGTGTCAGAAAAGCTATATCCTAGTATATGGACTCTGGAGTAGTACTATGCGAGTATTGAAATGTATGGAGTACATCAATCACGCATTCACGCTTCGAATGAAGCAAAGAAAATTCGAGAGAGCAAAAATTGTCTACAGAGCACAGTAACATATGTGACATGTGAACCTGTGTGGCTGTGTCATCGAGCGTGCGCAGCGAGGGGCACGGCCTCCGCGAGCGGCGTGGCCATCGGCGACGGCAGCGGCGAGTCGCGGCACACCGGGCAGGTGGCGCTCACCCGCAGCCACCGCTCCACGCACTCCGCGTGGAACCGGTGCCCGCACCCGGGCCCTCGCCGGAGCGCGTCGCCGGCCACGAACTCCCCGAGGCAGATGGCGCACTGCGCCCCCGCGCACGCGTTGTCGTCGTCACCGACGCCGACGTGTAGGAACTTGGGGTAGAGCGCGTCGATGGCAGGGCCGTCGAGGCCTAGCACCACGACGGCGGACGCTGCCGGGGCGCCGCCGTCGTCGTCGTCGTCGGCGAGGAGCACGGCAGCTGCGCCGGCCTTGGCGCGGACGCAGATGTAGGAGGCGAGCATGACGGTGGAGATGAAGACGAGGACGCCGACGGCGATGGCGATGCCGTAGCCGAGGCACACGGCGCCGCCGACGTCCGCTGCGGCGGGCGCGAAGGAGGCGGCGTCGGGCGAAGATGCGGGCGCGAAGGAGATGGGCGCGTGCATTCGTAGCAGCAGTCGCGCGTGCATTTCAGTGTGAGCAAATAAAATGGAAGAGATGGAGACAGCAGCTGCAGGGAAGTGGGGCTTGCGGCTGGACAGTGGCACGAACGAGCTGCGATGCGAGCGGCGTATGAGTCGGAATGGCGTGACAAAATTTAAGGCGGAGTTGGTAGAAGCTGATCCGAATCGATTCTGAATTTGGATGGCGAGAGTGCGTACGTGCAGTGGCAGTGAGAGTGAAGTACTGAAGGTGAACCAGGAATTACTCGGATCACACAGCCACATAGATTACTAAATTACAGGGCTTATAGGGTTACAGCAACAGTTGATATATTCTTGCGCAAATGCTCACCGTGCAATCACGTGGCTCGCGTTCATCGTGATTTATGAAGCAGGAAGAGGACCACATTGCAAATTGCAAGCTTGAACAATGTAAATGGAGTACAATCGTAAATGAATGTAAGCACAAGTAATCACTCGAGGCGGGACGACAGTCGAGACAGTAGGTTGTTGGCATCACAGGAAGCCACAGAGAAGTAGACAACCAACTCGAATCAGTTCTTCTATGGGACCATGAATCTGACCACAAGCCCCACGGCCCTCCGCGTGCTGTTTTCTGCCTAAAAAATGCTCCAGGAAACGGATCATAAATCGCTATCAGTCGAATAATCACTCGTATAATATTTGCGTCCCATAATTTGCAGAAAATGAATAAGAACTGTACTCCAGTTTGAATCCAAGTTATGTGCCAATGCTAAATAACAACTGGAGAAAAAAATTGTAATAGCATCCGATCAAGTTGCTGTTCAACAAACAATCCCACGATGGCGCCATGTTACTTGACATTAGCATCAATCTATCCTATCCACCCACCAAATAGCGCGAATCTCACTGAACTGCGGGGACCACATCTACCAACATTCTCAGCACTCGACGCCGGCGCACGCGGCGCGGCGGAACCCTGGCGGCAGGTCCGGCGCGCGGCTCCACTTGCCGCCGGCGATGTCGTACACCAGCACCATCCCTTCCAACGCGCCGCCGCCGGCATTGTGACCCCTCACGGCCGCAGCGCTCACCACGGCCGCCACCCTGTTGGTTCCTAGGCCGGCCATCGCCACGCGCACCGCCATGCCGAGCCCCACCGACCCCCTCGGCATCGGCGGCGCCTCAAGCGCCACCCACCCGCCCCAGCCTCTGCCGTCACCGGCACGGCCGGTGGCGCCGCACCACCTCCAGAAGGAGAGCTCCACCGCGTGGCTCGCCACCATGTACAGGTGGTCACCGACGCCGCACGCCCCCACGACGCAGCCGCCGCCGGGGAGCGCACGGGGGCGCGCCCAGGCGCCGGACGCGACGTGCAGCGCGTCCACCGACCCGGCGCACACGTGCGCCTCGAGCGCCCGCGCGCCCTCGCCGGACACCGCGACGCCCCCGGCGACGTAGAACACGCCTCCCGCGCTCGCGCCGGCGCACCCGTACCTCCGCCGCGGCGCCTCGCCGACCACGCGCCACGCGTCAGCCTCCGGGTCGTACTCCTCGACCACCGCGGTGCGCGCGGACCCGCCGGCGACGTAGATCCGGTCGCCCACGGCGGCAGCGGCGAACTTCTTCCGCGGGAAGAGCGTGGGCGCGCACGCGCGGGCCGCGCCGGTGAGCGCGTCGACGCGCAGCGTCGCCCCGCGGCCGATGAGGAAGACATCCCGACCCAGCACGACCGCGCGGGCGTGCGCGAACACGGAGCCGCCGCAATGCAGCAGGGTCGGGGGCAACGGCAGCGCGGCGACCTCGAGCACGGGCACGGAGGATTCAAACCGGAGCAGCGCCTGCGCGATGCAGCCGTTGTCGGAGACGGAGAGGCCGAGGAGGGAGGGGCGGAGGTGGGCGTGGGCGCGGCGGAGGTGGAGGAAGGCGTCGGAGGCGAGGAGCGTGGCGAAGCGGCGGGAGACGGCGGGGAGCGGAGGGATGGAGGCGCGGGGGACGCGGGCGAGGCACTCGAGGAGGAGGTCGTCGGGGAGGGCGGAGATTGGGGGTGCCGGCGGCGACGAGGGAGGCGGCGGTTGCGGGGTGGGGCAAAGAACGGGGACAGCGATGTGGCGGGCGGGGTCGGCGGGGATGCAGGACTTGACGAGCCACGAGAGGCTGCGGGAGTGGCAGCTCTCGGCGGCGGGCATGGCGGATTGCCGGATTGGGAGCTCAGCTGCTGCTCGGGGAGCGAGGTGGGTTGTGATTGGACGTGGGGAATCGTGGGAGGTGGAGTGGAGTGGAGGGGAAGTCGTTGGGCGGCTGGGCTCGTGCCCCCACCTTGTGCGGGGCGCAGCAACGGCGACGGTGGTGGAGCCGTTGCTTTTCTTTGAAATTCGAAGGTTTGGGTTTAAAATTTGAGCGTTTTGAATTGGTTAGGTCAGCTTTGGCCTGTAGGAATAACAGTGTACTTCACTTTACATCATCTGATCTATTATATACTAAAAGTCTATTAAACTTTCTACAAACGTCCTCAAACGGCCACGTGGACTCCTACAAACATTCCTAGACCACCACGTGGCACTTTCTAATAATTTATAGAAAAACAAAGCATCTCACCATTAATTTTCATTTAAATTGGTGGATCCATTAGTATACACCATTAGATTAGATCTATTGGATAAAATTAATCCCTTCCACCAAATCTCGCGTGTATACAAACAAAATACGTAACTATTTCACTGGGAAATTTTAACTACGTATTTACGTACGATAAAAAATAATTAAAGCTGGCGAACTGTTCACCAGCCAAAAAACCCAAGAAACCATACGTAGTACGTACGAGTAGAAAAAGTTAAAGCCCAAATAAAACATGTATACGTGCGTTAGTGCCATCGGGAAAAAAGGACGGTCTATATAATTTTCTATAATATAAAAATAAAACATATTACTTCTAAACATACACCCATGTTTAAAATTATTTTTTAAATCAGATATTCAATTTGTGATCATATTGTATTCCTCTAATTAAATGAACTACCGTGGACTTATAGTAATGATATTATAATGTTAAATACATCACGACACATAAGACCGACATAAAATAATTAATTTCATGATATTTTTTTAGATAATATCACAACATATTTTAGAGAAAATTTTCTATGTGTCCCTAAAGTTTTACCCAATTCCTTCTTTGCTCCCAAGTTTTCTATCGCATGGAAAAATTCTTTCTTTACTACAAGGTAATGTGAAAAATACTATAAAAAATATTTTGAGTCAATGATCTTTCCATAACACAAGCACCTTAATCCATAACAAGGATTATGATGGTATATGTATGATTTTTTTTATGCATAATAGTTTTAGCTATAAATGAACAGTCCAATAACATGCACATTAAACTACTCATGATATATTTTATTATTGTTGATGAATTCTAATATGTCGGGCATAATTTCTAGATGTATGCCATATCCCCCGCTAACTTGACTATAAGTGCACTTGAACAAATTAATTATGTAAATAAGTTTGAGAAAATAAATATATTCTTGGAATTAGTAAAAGTTTTTCATATAATTACGAACAACATGTGTTAAAAGCAAATTTTGCCAAAAAAAAGATCTAGGTCAAAATATAAATAATAATGATAGGATGCTCTATAGATTATCATCGTGATATGTCTCTTTATATATAATTTTTTAAGCACAGTCGAATGATCAATCATGCTTATCTTCAAAACATAATATTGTATCTATAAAAAATATTAAATAGTACTGATTAACACTATAAACAAATCATGTCTACTTTATACCACAAATCTACTCAAAACGTAAATAAAACTATTTCTGTGAGAAAAACTATTTTTATCATCTCCATCATCTCTCTTGTCCTTAGTTGAAGGACATCAAACATGGATGAGAAAACTTTCTACGTTGTTGTAAGCGTTAGCAAAGGCTTACATTTGGTTGAGTTGAGGTGGCCCTATTGGAGGCTACTGTTGGTAATAGTGCTCAACTTTCTACTTACCATTGTAATCCTCTATGAGCATGCCGATAGTGATTTAGGCGTTAAATTGCCCTCAACGCCAGGTTTAAGTGACATGGCTACATGGATGTGTGAGAAAGAAAGCTTGGCGGCTACGGCAAGCTTCATCCGTTAGAGGGGTTTTACGTCAAATTTTAACGGTGTTATTCCATTAACCAGTAGAAGTGGTATTCTTACAATAAATATACATGGATTTGGAAATAAGTGAGACCTGAACACTCAGATTAATGGTAAACCTTTTAGTATATTAATAATGTATTAGGCTTAATTTTGGTGATAGGACATATGCAATTTCATCCATTAAATAGGCCCAGGTTTTAAAACAATGATAATAAATAGTCGTGATAATATGGGAATTTATACATAACCGGGTGAACGTCATTTTTATTAGAATCTGGGAGAAATTATTATCATCTAACATATCTAGGGTCTATTTGACAACGTAGATACTTTTTTATTATAAGGTAATAACGAAATCTTATAATAAATATGTTTTTTTAGCGTTGTGTTCATGAAATAGTAAATAAGACACCCGCGCATTTGTGCGGGCTTCCTTTCTAGTTTCATTTAAAAATAGTTTTGAATTGGTTAGACTAGATTATCTGATCATAATTTAGTTGCCCATTCTGAAATGTTTGGCTTGACCAACACGTGAAGAGGAATACACAAGACTTTACAGGCAGATCAACCTGACCACGTACAGTACAAACGATTCACCGTCTAGCGCACATAGTAGCTTCCAAAGTTCCAATGTGTGCCATTCAGCGATCAGCACTCCATCGTTTTTTCATGCCCTAAAGTTGAACATGCAAATACACAAGACAAGTTAGTGCTTTATGGTTTATGGAAAGGGAAGGGACATAGAGCGCACCAGTAAACGGTAAAGTGCATTGTCCTGAGCTGGTGGTTAATGGCCATCATCAAAGTTGATGGATGCAAATCACCAAAGTCAGACCAGATTGGCAGTCAATTGTGCCAAGGAAAAAAGGACAACGATTATGGTTAACACGAGTGCAAAGAATAGAAGAATGTAAGACCAAGTGGCATCAGAAAGCATCACATGATTCGTTCAAAAAAAGAAAGCATCACGTGTGTGGTTTCCGGGAAGCTGCAAATCACCTGCAAACTCAACTAGCTGCAGCCTCCTTCAGATACATATATTCTCCTCTCTGTAGTCCGTAGCAGCCTGGCAGATTGCAGATGCCAGTACCAACCACAATGACTCAATGAGCGAGCGGACGATTCCTCCTCCTGTGTCGTCGCATGGCGAGGACTTCGCCGAGGTTGTGGTGGTGCGCCATGGGGAGACATCGGCGAACGCCTTGTGCATCATTCAGGTCGGCGGTCTTGTCTTCCCTTTGTTCCTGTCACCAATAACTTGTCCTTTTCAATTTTTCTTGAGAATTATACTTGGTTGATGGCCTTCTTCAGTCAATAGCTCTTCAGTCCCCTCGTCGTCATTCCATCAATTTTCTCGAGTTGACAGATCATCAGAACAATTTTAACAGGGACAAATGGATATAGAGTTGAATGAGGCTGGCAGACAGCAAGCTGTTATGGTGAGCTTTACCAATACATTTCAAATAATGAAACAGGATTGTAATTTGGGGTTTTGTCTGAACTTGGAATTCTATTATCGAAAAACCTGAACTTGGAATTGGTGCTAACGTCTAAGGTTGCTCGTCGGTTGGCTAAAGAAGCTAAGCCAGTTGCCGTGTACTCCTCTGATCTGAAGCGTGCTGCCGAAACGGCTCAAACTATAGCTACAGCTTGCAATGTGTCCAACGTAAGTACATGCATTATATGCTGAAGCTTCCATTTTCCAGTGGTAAACTTGCTATGTTTCTCATTTGATTTGCTTTCAGCTGGTGTTGAGTCCTGCACTGAGAGAAAGGCACATGGGAGATCTCCATGGTTTGAAGTTTGATGATGCCGTCAGAAGCAAGCCTGACGCTTACAAGGCTTTCTCATCTGAAGACAGAAGCCAAGAAATCCCTGTAACTTTCATCCTTAATTTTCTCACCAACTTCTTAGGCTTGATAATGATTGGCCTAACATTAGTAGATGTGTTTCGAACAATTTTCTGTTTTGACAGGGTGGCGGGGAGAGCCTTGACCAACTATCTGAGCGGTGTGTTTCGTACTTGAACACAATAGCTGGGAAGCACAAGGGTAGGCAGTATTGTAATATTCTCACTCTGAAGTTTTTGTATGGTTGACAGAATAGTGAAATTTGCTTGTTGAGTTAGCTATTTCAAATCTGGTAAGCATGCTATTAGTAAAGTGAAAGCTAGCGGTGCAAAGAAAATTCAGAATGCACCTGCACATTCTTATGCCGAGTCATTCAAGCAGTTGCTCATAATACACAGAAAATGAAGTTATTATGTATGCTGCATTGGCAGGGGAGCGAGTGATTGTGGTCTCCCATGGAGCGAGCATCGAGGAACTCTGCAGACACGCCGATCCAACCAGCTCAGTTCGCAGGAGAATCCCAAACACTTCGATCTGCGTCTTCAACATTTCTGGCTCCACCGGCCATTGGATTCTCGAGAGGTTTGGAGATGTCGCCCATCTCAACGAAGACGACTTCCCGTAGAATGCATTTGGTGGCGATGAGGCCTCTACGTAGTGCCTCCAACCAACCAACCAACCGGCTTCTTGGGCCATTTCATGAATCCGGGCATGAACTGTTATCTGTTTGTCTCTCTTTTCTCTCAATTTGACAATTGTAGAACTTTCGTGCTAACTGAGTCACATCGCATAACTCACGAATTCACAAATTGTAATTGCTTGATTGAAACTAGCTACTGGACTTTTCATATTTAGTACTAGTTAAATAGTCACACATTCGTGTGACTATAACCTCCTGCTCTGCTAGATGATAATCAACCAAACTTTTGGTTTCCAAAGTATGACAATAGAAACACGGTCCCTTGTATATGATTATTCGATTTGCTGGTGGCTTTGATCTGGGGATTAGTCAAGCACCTCAGTTAGTGGAAAAAAAATAATCACGTTCAGAATCCAACCCAGGCAAGGACCGAAGCATTAACTCCGATTGTGGAATCATTCATAAAACTAAAAGTCCTTGAAAAAATTTCAAGCTTAATTAGAACAGAACATGGGATATTTATTTACCAGAGAAGTAAGAAAAAGAAAATTGATAGGGGCTGAAGTAAAAAACAGCAGGAATGCAGACATGAGAAAGAATACTGATAAGGGCCGAAGTACCAAATGCTTTTATTGCTAATTTGGATGTCTTAATACCCTGAATATGTGATGTCACATCCGCATATCGGCATGAGTTTCAAAAAACATTCTCCTGCATGTGTGCGCCTAAACAGAATTAGCTGCTTAATGAGCTGGGGTTCACCACCCAGGATAACCTTCACTAAGCTCCGCCACTAGACGGAGTTAGTACGAAATGAAGGGGCAGAGTTAGTACAAAATAAAAGGGTATCACTCCTTTATTTTACTTTAATTTGGATCGAGTTAAGGCTGATGTAAGTATTTAAGTTTGGACAGAGGGTGCAAATAGGATGGAAATATATGAAGTATAGATTAAAAATATTTTGAACCGGGTTGTTAGGCACCCCCTCAGCTCCACTCTACGACCAAGCAACCGTCTGGTCTACTATTCTTGATCCATTTCGTGATTTCAGACATGATCAAACCATCCGATTATCTTTCTCTTTTGCAGTACAAATACAAATTTGTCGGTACGGCAGCACAGTACTACTGTGTACTAGCAGAAAATGAAATCAATAGAGTTGCTATAAAACATTGACCAAGGTCTCTCCCGCTCCCCGCTCTATAGATACATGTCCATATCGTCCGAAGCTTCCTACTCAAACATTTCTCAATTAACCTCCATTGGATTAAATAATTGATCTTCGAGTTGGTCTTCTGAAGTCTGCAACGCAAGTCCCTATCTTGGGCAACAAGAACAAACAATTTGGCATACATGTGCCAATCCATGGCCTTACACACTCTTTAGTACAGTTCACAATATTTTAGCATTCATCTCAGAGTAGGACTTTCAATTAAACAGCTCAACATCTCTGAACTCTGAAGCGTAGATAGGCAGATAGCTCAACATATAAAAGCAGTAGCAAATGCATGTCCATATATGTCAACCAACAGCGAAAGTAGCAATTAATTCAGTCAGTTGAAATGGAGTTCTACGCCTATTCCATGCTCCTCATCCTGCCTCTGATACTGTACATGTCCTACCACCTCACAAGAACCCTAGCCGAGAAGAAGCCCACCACCCATGGCCTCAAGGCACACCCGCTGCTCGGCCACCTACCGGCCTTCGTCAAGAACAGCCACCGCTTCCTTGATTGGTCGACGGAGCTCATCGCCGGCAGCCCGGAGATGAGGATTGGATTGTGGATCCCCGGGATGCGGAGCGGCATCGTCACCGGCAACCCGGCCGACGTCGAGCACATCCTGCGCACCAACTTCGCAAACTATCCCAAGGGCCAGCACGCCATTGGCACGCTCGAGGATTTCCTCGGCCATGGCCTCTTCAACTCCGACGGCGAGCAGTGGCTCTGGCAGCGCAAGAACGCCAGCTACGAGTTCAGCAAGCGCTCCCTGCGCAAGTTCGTCGTCGACGTCGTGCAGGCCGAGGTCGCCAACCGCCTGCTCCCGCTGCTCCGCCGCGCTGCCGGTGATGGTGTCGGTGGTGATGCCGTCGTCCTCGACTTGCAGGACGTGCTCCAGCGATTCGGGTTCGACACCATCTGTATGGTGGCGTTCGGGCATGACCCGCGCTGCCTCGCCGACGGCGGGGTCCTGGAGGAGGCCAAGTCGGAGTTCATGCACAACTTCGGCGAGGCACTGGACCTCGTCATCGGCCGCTTCATGGACCCCATCGAGGTCTCCTGGAAGATCAAGAAATGGCTCAACATCGGCACCGAGCGCCGCCTGAAGAAAGCCATCGCCGACGTCCATGCCTTCGCCATGGACATTGTCCGCGCCCGGCGCCAGAGCGCGTCCGTGAAAGACAGAGACGACGTCTTGTCAAGGTTCGTGGCGAGCGACGAGTACAGCGACGAGGTCCTCCGCGACATCGTCCTCAGCTTCCTCGTCGCCGGCCGTGAGACGACGTCGTCGGGGCTGACGTGGTTCTTCTGGCTGTTGTCATCCCGGCCCGACGTCGTGGCGCGGATCGCCGACGAGGTCCGCGCTGTGAGGAAGGCGACCGGCACGCGCCCCGGCGAGCCATTCGGGTTCGACGCGCTCCGGGAGATGCACTACCTCCACGCCGCGCTCACGGAGTCGATGCGGCTGTACCCGCCGGTGCCGACCGACCCGCAGTCGTGCGCGGCGGACGACACACTCCCCGACGGCACGTTCGTCCGCGCCGGCTGGTTCGTGAACTACAGCGCGTACGCCATGGGGAGGCTCGCCGCCATATGGGGCGAGGACTGCATGGAGTACAGGCCGGAGCGATGGCTCGGTGACGACGGCGCGTTCCAGCCGGCGAGCCCGTTCCGGTTCACGGTGTTCCACGCGGGGCCGAGGATGTGCCTCGGGAAGGAGATGGCGTACGTGCAGATGAAGTCCATAGTTGCTAACGTGATCGAGGAGTTGGTGGTCGACGTCGTCAAGGAGGTCGCCGGCGGGGGCGTTCCGGAGCATGTGTTCTCTATATCGCTGAGGATGAAGGGTGGCTTACCTGTGAAGATAAGGAGAAAGGGTGAATCTTTTTAGGGGATGGTTTGGTGATTCTTGCAACTGAATTAACAGGAGAACTATATATCTTAGCGCTGTGTTTCTTACTTGAACACCTGTTGTTGAAAGATGAACGCTTGTGCCGGTCGTTTCGAAAAAACTTCTATCGGTAGCGTGTTACCACTTACTCCCTCTCTCATTTTAAATGTAGTTCTGATTTTTTTTTTCAATCTTTGACCGCACGTCTTATTTAAAAATTTATATATTTTTTTAAAATAAGTCACACATAAAATATTATTTATATTTTATCATCTAATAAGAAAAATTTTAAATAGGATTGACGGTCAATATTAGACATAAAAACTCACAACTGTATTTAAAATGGAACGGAACGAGTACCACTTTCCTTATACGGTTGTGTTCAGCAGTGGATTTTACCGGGTTTGTGCACGAGGAAAACGTGGTCTCTTGCTTTTCACTCATCAGATTTTGTTTATTCGTACTGCGTCGCCATCCTTGGATAGTGGTTACAAATACTGAAATGACCCAATAGCTGATGTTACGTGTGGTCCGGCAGGACATATGCGAGGCACTGTTCGTCCAAGCATTCAGGCCGCAGCACCTGGTCCCCGGTGGCTGAGGCTAGCAGCCACCCTCCGCCCCATCTCGCCGGCGACGGCGGCTGTCAGGTATCCTCTGTTCCCTCTCGCCTGCGGCCATCAGGTGTCAGCTGTCACCATGGCGAAGGAGGTCGATCGGTTCGTGGAGCTGGTGGTTGTCCGGCACGGCGAGACGTCGTGGAACTCCTCCCGCATCGTTCAGGTCGGTAGCCAACACCAAGCATCTGTTGCTTTATCCTTCTGACGATTCGTTGTGTTGGAAAAATGAAAATACATACTCCTGATAGAACACTGAACTTCTGCAATAGGGGCAAATGGATCCAGAGCTGAACGAGATTGGAAAACAGCAGGCTGTTGTGGTACGATACACACTAGCTCAAAATTTCGAAGCAGAACCACCAATATGTGGATTTATGGTATTACCAGCATTGGTAGTTTAATTTGATATTTTCTGTCTGAATGAATCGATCTGATGCGAACTTACAAGGTGGCTCGTCGTCTTGCAAGAAAAGCTAGGCCAGCTGCTATATACTCGTCTGATTTGAAGCGTGCTGCTGAGACTGTAAAAATCATAGCAAAAGTCTGTGATGTATCAAACGTGAGTTCTTCTAGCCTACCTTTTCCTGCTTTCTCCTCCATGAGTAACACCAATAATTTGTTCCAGTTAGTGTTGATTGAAGCACTAAGAGAAAGGCACATGGGATATCTGCAAGGTTTGACGTGGGATGATGCTATGAATAAAAGCCCAGGCGTTTTCAAAGGCTTTGCTAATTTTGAAGTCAAAAATGGTTTGGACTTTGATGGCAGAAACCACGAATTTCCGGTAAGTTCCAAACCGTATTTTTTCTTTGGAACACTTATAACCCGAGAAATGTAACTTTGTCTAGGTCTGTTAAATCAGAAGTGGAGTGAGTGTATACCATTTTGTAGCACTAGTACTATATAACTTTTGAAAAGTTTATCATTGTTTCAAATGATGTTTAGGATGGTGGAGAAAGTCTTAATCAGTTAAGTGAGCAGGGCATCTCCTACCTGAACAAAGTTGCTCAGAATCATATCGGTAAGTATCAAACTATCATAAAAAAAAATCGAACTTTTACTCCATTTCATTTGTGTATGCCATTGTACACCTTATCCTGACAAGCTGCTATCCTGGAACCTTAAAGATGTTTTGCTAATGTTGCATTGACAGGGGAGCGGGTGATTGTTGTCGGCCATGGTGCTGCCATACTAGAACTCTGCCGGCACACTGATCCACCCAACAGCTCGATTCGTAGGAAAATTCCCAATACTTCACTGAACATTTTCCGCATTTCCGGCGTCACCGGCCGGTGGATCCTTGAGAGGTGTGGAGACGTCGGCCATCTCAGTGAAAATGGCTTTCTGGAGAACGCATTTGGCGGTGATGGAGCCTCTGCCTAACACATTCAGCGACTCATCTTGTCAGTGTATTCAGTGATTCAATCACCCATGACTTGAAGTCTGAAACATTTTTCGTTTTTCTGATTGCTATTTTCTTCGGTGTGATAATCATGATGAATTGATCATAAACTACTCGTTGTTTCGTCGTGTTAGCTGTATATCAATCTGCAAAACAATCGCAAAAAGGGGGGAAAGATGCAAATCTGAAGGGAAAAAAAAGGCTAATTCGGATGTCCTCCCTTAGACTGAGGACCGGCTCTCTGCCGTTGGATGATCTTCTCGGTACTGTAGCATTGCAATTGAACGGTTAAGATTGCGTTTAGATCGTCAGGTCAGGAGCGTCTCTGCTGTTTTAAGGCCGGCCCATCGGTTGCTGCTTCTCGCCTCCGCGTTTCCTCACCCCGCCGCCGCAGCCGCAGCCGCCGCCGCCGCCGTCGCCGTCGCCGTCGCCGTCGCCGTCGCCGTCGCCGCCGCCGCAGCCGCAGCCGCCGTCGCCGTCGCCGTCGCCATCGCCGCCGCCGCGTCGTCTGCGTTTCATGTTCAGGCTCCTGCCCCGCATCACCCCGCTCCCGCGCCGCCGCCTCCGTCGCAGCCACAACCCAAACCCACTAATCTCCCCCGCCGTCGCTGCTTCCCTCGCCGGCGTCCTCGCCACCCGCTCCACGAACCCCACCTGGGCACGGTCCCTCGCGGCGCTGCTCCCCTCCCCGCTCTCCGACGCCCACCTCGCCGCCGCCGTCTCCTCCCTGCCCGACCCCGACCTCGCCGTCGCTCTCCTCTCCTGGTCACAGTCCCCCGACCACCATGTCGCCCTCCAGGACCCTACTCCTCTCGCCCACTCCACGCTGCTCCGCCTCCTCGCCCGCTCCCGCCGCTTCGACGCCGTGGACGACACGCTCCAGTCTATGTCTCTCGCGGGCGCCGCGCCCACGCGCGCCTGCCTCGGCGCGCTCGTCGCCGCCTACGCCGACGCTGGCATGCTTGGAAAGGCCACCGAGATGTGCGAGCGCGTAAGGGAGCAGTACGGCTCGCTCCCGGAGGTGACCCATTGCAACCGCCTGCTCAAGCTCCTAGTGGAGCAGCGGCGCTGGGATGACGCCCGTAAGCTGTATGATGAAATGCTTGGCAAGGATAGTGGTGCGGATAACTACAGTACTTGTGTGCTTGTCCGGGGACTGTGCCTGGAAAGGCGAGTGGAAGAGGGGTTGAAATTGATTGAAGCAAGGTGGGGAGCTGGGTGCATTCCACATGTAGTGTTCTATAACGTCTTGATCGATGGGTATTGCCGGCGTGGAGATATGGGTAGAGGATTGTTGCTGTTGGGGGAAATGGAGACAAATGGATTCTTGCCAACCCTTGTGACATATGGTTCTCTTATAAATTGGCTTGGAAAGAAGGGTGATCTAGAGAAGATTGGGAGTTTATTTTTGGAGATGAGGAAAAGGGGATTTTCCCCCAATGTCCAGATTTATAACAGTGTCATAGATGCTTTGTGCAATTGCCGGTCTGCAACACAGGCTATGGTGATCTTGAAGCAGATGTTTGCAAGTGGATGTGACCCAGATATCATCACATTTAATACTTTGATAACTGGGCTGTGCCACGAAGGGCATGTTCGAAAGGCTGAGCATTTTTTGAGGGAGGCCATCAGGAGGGAGTTGAACCCAAATCAGCTTAGCTACACTCCATTGATTCATGGGTTCTGCATGAGAGGGGAGTTGATGGTTGCATCAGATTTGCTTGTGGAAATGATGGGCAGAGGGCATACTCCTGATGTTGTCACATTTGGAGCACTAATTCATGGTCTTGTAGTTGCTGGCAAAGTCAGTGAGGCTTTGATTGTTCGTGAGAAGATGACAGAAAGACAGGTATTCCCGGATGTTAACATATACAATGTATTGATTAGTGGTTTGTGCAAGAAACGCATGCTTCCTGCAGCTAAGAACATTCTTGAAGAGATGCTTGAGAAAAATGTCCAACCTGATGAGTTTGTTTACGCCACATTAATTGATGGATTCATTAGGAGTGAGAATCTTGGTGATGCAAGGAAAATATTCGAATTCATGGAACACAAGGGTGTCTGCCCTGACATTGTTAGCTGCAATGCCATGATAAAAGGTTATTGTCAGTTTGGAATGATGAGCGAGGCAATTCTATGCATGAGCAACATGAGAAAGGTTGGGTGCATCCCGGACGAGTTTACATATACTACAGTTATTAGTGGCTATGCTAAACAAGGTAACCTTAATGGAGCTCTAAGGTGGTTATGTGATATGATCAAGCGGAAATGCAAGCCAAATGTTGTTACATACTCTTCATTAATAAATGGATACTGTAAGACAGGTGATACAGACTCTGCAGAAGGCTTGTTTGCAAATATGCAGGCTGAAGCTCTATCTCCTAATGTGGTAACTTATACCATCCTAATTGGTAGTCTGTTTAAAAAAGACAAAGTACTCAGAGCTGGTTTGTACTTTGAAACCATGTTGCTTAACCATTGTTCTCCTAATGATGTTACCTTACATTATCTAGTCAATGGGCTCACTAGTTGTACTCCTTGTGTCATCAACTCTATCTGCTGTAACACTAGTGAGGTGCATGGCAAGGATGCCCTTTTAGTCGTATTCAAGAAATTGGTTTTTGACATAGGGGATCCAAGGAATTCAGCATACAATGCCATCATCTTCAGCCTGTGTAGACATAATATGCTCAGGGAAGCATTGGATTTTAAAAATAGGATGGCTAAAAAGGGCTATGTGCCGAATCCTATCACCTTCCTTTCACTTCTTTATGGCTTTTGTTCTGTTGGAAAATCAGTGAATTGGAGGACCATCCTTCCTAATGAATTTCAGCAAGAGGAGTTCGAGATAATATTTAGATACAAGTTTTTGTTTGACCAATATGCAACTGAGTCAGTTTGCTGTGAAGTCTCCAGGGTTTTACAGCATCTTGCAGGGTGTAAATCCTTGCAGCGTGTGGAGCAGAAATTTGCTAATTCTTGATGCCCGTCTACCTGGCTCTTGTAAATGAGGGAGATCATTTATTCTTTTGTTTGGCCAGAAAAATCACCAGCCAAATTCATTATGAAAGAAAGGAGAGTGTAGGGTACAAAGTTACTGCAACAAGGTTGTTGTTACGGCTTATTTGATTTTTTTACTTCAGCAACTGGAGGTTGAAAGATCAGGAACGTTCATAGTACCATCTAACTGGAGGAGTGGTATTAATATGACCAAATCTCCCGCAGAGATCTCCACCCAAAGGTATTAATCTTGCTATGACTGGTCATATGTGATTTTAGATTATGCTTGAATCTTTGATGGTTGAAGACTCAAAAGTTTTTCTGACAACTCAACTACAGGAAAATTGAACATTAGAACTTCTAAAATTCCATGTGCTAGTTCCCCTTCTTTAAATTGTTTACTCAACTAGACTTGCTAGAGGAAACAAAAAAAACATACTACTGGTGTCCTGTTTCTGTAAACATAGTTATCTTCTCATTCACAATTCATTGGCATCATTCGTTTGGAATTACATGTGAAAGGAAAATGTTGCATTAGTTTCTTGTCCATGTTGATGCTGTGTCTGAATTAATATTTGCTGTTGTTCTCAAGGTCGTTAGTAACTAAATTATAGTATGTTTTTATGTTGCAGTAATCATTAACCTGTAACTGAAGTCATCAGTCGACATTGATTTTTTTTTTCATTTTACTCTGTTCAATTCTTCAGTAACATATCAATAAATGTAAGACTTATGAAACTTCGAATTCGTACTGGTATAGAGCTTTCGTGCTTGCACTTTAGTTGCCTGTCAAGCAGAAGCAATGCTTATGAGATTCTTACTGAAAAATAAATAACTTCTTGCTGCTTTTCAGGTGAATTTATTTAACCCTATGACTTTTCCATGGTTAGTGTCTCCAATGGCCACTCAACTACAGTTGATGCTATTGTGACACTGCAAGCAAGATTATTTGGCAGGATGCGCAGGTGTAAATCAGACTGCAATGTCGCTTAAGCGCAGGACCGTCGTAGCAACTGCAGCTAGATCATACTCCCTCCATCCCATAAAAAACCAACCTAATACTTGATGTTGACACATCATAGTATTACGAATCTAGACATATCGCTATCCAGATACGTAGTATTAGGATGTGTCAACGTCCAGTACTAGATTGGTTTTTTATGGGTACGCGATTTAGAATTTTGTTGTCCTTCTATCATTCGGTATAGGCGACGGTTGCAGACTTGCAGATCACAACACCCTCCGTCAGACCATCACTCAGTAAGTATGCAGGTAGTTTCTTTTAGCTTTAGGTGTAGGAGTGCAGGACATTGTATAGCTTACACGTAATTTTACATGTACAAACACTCGTTGGTATCATGACAAATCTGGAAATCTTGCCGTCTTGCTCATCTAGAACAATGCCATTACAAAGTTTTTTTTATGGCCATGACCGACATTTTGGGTGCTGCATCATCACTATCCACTATAGGAGTCCCATGTCTCAGTATTTTGTGTATTTTCTGCACAAATCTGCTCAAATGTGTCATTAGTTTTCTGCACAAATCTGCTCAAATGTATCATTAGTTTTCCGCAGAAATCTGCTCAAATTTATCATTAGTTCATCAGTAATGTACTTACAGTATTCATTTGGCAGTAAGAACAACACCTGAAAGTTGGTCAAATAGTTGCTTAAACAGGTCTATTTGTGTCTTACATGGCTGATTTCAACTTGTTAAATTTGTACAATACAGTGATACGCCATCCTTTTATTGATTAATTGGCATCAATTCAACCCAGGGCAAATCATTTTTCTGCCGCTGTAGTCCAGTAGGAAATGGAAAACGGCCAAAAACAACCAAATCACAAACGTTATTCTTAACCCATAAGCTCAAAACGAAAAGAGCAAAACTTGAAGCTTAACTAATTATAGTACCATTCAGCGGCAAAGTACCCTTGTGGCCTTCTCTAGTAAGCTTCAGTCTTTCTCCTAATCTTCACAGGTAGTCCACCCTTCATCCTCAGCGTCACCGAGAGCACGTGCTCCGGCACGCCGCCGCCGGCGATCTCCTTGACGACGTCGACCTCGAACTCCTCAAGCACGTTTGCAACTATGGACTTCATCTGCACGTACGCCATCTCCTTCCCGAGGCACATCCTCGGCCCCGCATGGAACACCGTGAACCGGAACGGGCTCGCCGGCTGGAACGCGCCGTCGTCGCCGAGCCACCGCTCCGGCCTGTACTCCAAGCAGTCCTCGCCCCAGATGGCGGCGAGACGCCCCATGGCGTACGCGCTGTACGTCACCGACCAGCCGGCGCGGAGGAGCGTGCCGTCGGGGAGCGTGTCGTCCGCCGCGCACGACTGCGAGTCGATCGGCGCCGGCGGGTACAGCCGCATTGACTCGGTGAGCGCGGCGTGAAGGTAGTGCATCTCCCGGAGCGCGTCGAACCCGAACGGCTCGCCGGGGCGCGTGCCGGTCGCCTCCCTCACCGCACGGACCTCGTCGGCGATGCGCGCCACGACGTCGGGCCGGGACGACAAGAACCAGAAGAACCAGCTCAGCCCCGACGCTGTCGTCTCGCGGCCGGCGATGAGGAAGCTGAGGACGATGTCGCGGAGGACCTCGTCGCTGTGCTCGTCGCTCGCCACGAACCTCGACAAGACGTCGTCTCTGTCTTGCACGGACGCGCTCTGGCGCCGTGTGCGGACAATGTCCATGGCGAAGGCATGGACGTCGGCGATGGCCTTCCTCAGGCGGTGCTCGGTGCCGACGTTGAGCCACTTCTTGATCTTCCAGGAGACCTCGATGGGATCAAAGAAGCGGCCGACGACGAGGTCCTGCGCCTCGCCGAAGGTGTGCATGTACTCCGACCTGGCATCCTCCATGACACTGCCGTCGGCGAGGCAGCGCGGGTCGTGCCCGAACGCCACCATACAGATGGTATCAAACCCGAATCGCTGGAGCACTTCCTGCAAGTCGAGGACGACGATATCACCACCACGACCATCACCGGCGGCGCGGCGGAGCAGCGGGAGGAAGCGGTCGGCGACCTCGGCCTGCACGACGTCGACGACGAACCTGCGCAGGGAGCGCTTGCTGAACTCGTAGCTGGCGTTCTTGCGCTGCCAGAGCCACTGCTCGCCGTCGGAGTTGAAGAGGCCATGTCCGAGGAAGTCCTCGAGCATGCCAATGGCGTGCTCCCCCTTGGGATAGTTGGCGAAGTTGGTGCGCAGGATGTGCTCGACGTCGGCCGGGTTGCCGGTGATGATGCCGGTGCGCATCCCGGGGATCCAGAAGCCCATCCTCATCTCCGGGCTGCCGACGATGAGCTCCGTCGTCCAGTCGAGGAAGCGGTGGCTGTTGTTGACGAACGCCGGGAGGTGGCCGAGCAGCGGGTGCGCCTTGAGGCCATGGGTGGTGGGCTTCTTCTTGTCGGCGAGGATTCTTGTGAGGTGGTAGGAGACGTAGAGTATCGGAGGGAGGAAGAAGAGCATGGAACAGTAGTAAGAGTCCATTGCCATTGATCGACTTGGTAGCAAGCTGGTTGATGGAAGAGGAGTGTTCACCTGGCATTATATACTGGGACACTGGATCTCCAAAGCAATTTATAATTGCAATGTCAAGTCGATTAAACTTCTATCAATCCACTAATTAATTACTTTGAAGATCAATGCAATTCTTAAATTATACGTATATTGTGAAGAACCGTGTGCCTGACCATGATAGGGATAGGCACATGAGTGGCAAGTTGTTTCGGCTTGTTAGCCAAGACAGGGCCTTGCGTTGCAGGCAATACTAGTTAAATCCAGTGGAGGATAAGAAATGTTTTAATTAGGAACCTTCTGATGATGAACTGCCCTGCTATACATCGATGAGAACATGATTCTACTTCTATATCGATGGCAATATGCTTACAAGTTACAAACGGATCTGTTGGTGAACCGAAACATAAATAGCATCATCAGCAGCTTTGAACCTGCTGCTGCTTGGGCAGCGCGTAGCGGCAGAGAGGACAGAGGCAGCTTTCGCTGAGCCAACGGAAGAGGCAGATCTCGTGGAAGGAGTGGTTACACGGCATCGTCCTCAGCATGTCTTTCTCCTCGAAGTCCCTGAGGCACACGGCGCACTCCTCCTGCCTCGCGTCGCACGCCTTCGTCAGCGCGAGGCCCAGGAGGACATCTCGCGACATCTTGCATCGGGGCATCCCCGTCGGCGGCGCGGCGACGTCGTCCTAGCATGGGCGAAGGACGAGGCCTGATCACTCGGCCAGCCCAGTACACCTCTCCCTGGTACACCCCTCGACGGAACTCTTGTAGCATGTCGCGGATGCTCCGGGCATCGCTGTTGGGGTCGATTCCTAGGCGTTGGAGCGTGCGGTGGAATCTCATCGGAACTCGCGCTGCCGCCGCTGCCGGATCCATCCATCTCCCGGCGCTACGGACTACAGTGTGGATACTAGGGTCGACCCCCAATTCTCGGAGTAGGTCTTCGAATTTTTCTGCCGCGTATGGATCAGAAAGTGGCGCCGCCAACTGCGCCGCCGCCCGAGAATCCATCAATCTGCGAGCCGGCGGATCCATCGCCTGCAGCAGTCAGACCAGCTTTTGCGTTGTTGCAACAACTGGATGAGTACCAGATTTTATTATAGTGGACGATGTGAGGCACAACGAGATTGATTAGGACTCGGAATCGATCGGAGTCGGAGTAATCCATTCCCGCGCGCAGCACAGCGCGGCGCGTGCCACGCAATCTCGACCACTGTCTACGTATACCTGCTTCATCTGAACGTATATACGTCCGGTTCCTAGTACTCGTAGTAGGTATTTTTGTCTCCCGTACAACTGAGACCCCTCGCACGTATGCACGGTTGAATTTCTGGCAGCTCAACAAATCAAGCATTGCATGCCTCAACAGATTGGCACGCGTACGCACACTTCAAATGTTAATAGCAACACAGCTGAGCTAGTGACATACTGACATATATATACGCAAGTGGCGGCTGCCGTGCTATATATACATGAACCACTGCCACCATCTATCCATCACACAAAAGCATCATCTATCTATCTAACCAGAGTGATAAAATGGAGGTGCAGGTGAAGAGGAGTTCGGTCGTGCCGCCGCCGCCGCGCGAGACGGAGGAGACGCCGCTCACCGTGTTCGAACTCGTCGCGCCGACGTACCACGTCACCGTCCTCTTCGCCTTCTCGCCGCCCAACCCGACCACCCGCGCCCTCCTCGACGCTCTCTCCGCCACGCTCCCGCACTTCCCGCTCCTCACCGCGCGCCTCGACCGCCGCGGCGCCCGTCGCCGCCCGTTCTTCGTCACGGGCAGAGGTGGCGCCGGCGCACTCGTCGTGGAGGCCGAGGTGTCGTCCGACCTCGCTGACCACCTCCCGCTCGCGCCGTCGCCGGAGCTCGCGCGCCTCCACCCGCCGGTCAACACGGACGCGCCGACGCCGCATGTGCTGCTGGTGCAGATCAACCGCTTCGCGTGCGGCGGCCTCGTGGTCGTCTCGTCGGCTCACCACCAGGCCGCCGACGGGTTCTCCATGAGCACCTTCTTTCACGCCTGGACCGACGCCGTCCGTCGCAACGGAGCTCCGCTGCTTGACCGACCTGTACCGTACGGCCCCGGCGCGCTCTCGCCGCGCCGGCCGCCGCGGTGCGAGTTCGAGCACCGCGGCAAGGAGTTCTTGCCGCACGACGGCGTCACGAGCAGGCAAGGACAAGGCGCCGACACCGGCGCCGTCCGCATCGACCCTTCCGAGGTCGCCAACGTGCTGCTGCACTACCCGAGCGAGTTCGTCGCCGAGCTCAAGCGGCGCGCGCAGGGCAAGTACACCACGTTCGAGACCGTGTCGGCGCACGTCTGGAAGAAGATCACCGCCGTGCGCGGGCTCGACGCCGGCGCGCGCACGTCGGTGAACGTCTCCGTGAACGGCCGCGCCCGGCTCGGGACAGGAACCGTGCCAAACGGCTTCTTCGGCAACCTCATCATCAACGCGAGCTCCGGCCCGACAGCGAGGGAGCTGACCACCGGTACTCTCGCGGACGCGGCGGCGCTGATCCGCGCGGGGATCCGCGCCGTCGACCGGCGCTACTTCCAGTCGTTCATCGACTTCGGGGCGCTCCACGTCGACGGCGGCAGGGACGAGGAGGAGCCGCTTCAGCCGGCGAACGTGGACGAGCCCGGCGTGCTGTCGCCGGACGTGGACTCGGACAGCTGGCTGCACCTGGAGCTGCACCGGCTGGACATGGGGCTCGGCGGGCGGCTCGCCGGGATCCTGCCGGCGAAGGTGCCAGAGGACGGGGTGGTGGTGGTGATGCCGAGCCTGAGGAAAAGTGGTGGGGTGGAGGTGTTCGTGGCGCTGTGGGAGAAGCACGCGAATGAGCTCACCAGCATCGCTTACACCATGGATTAGTGAAACACTAACCAAGATGTAGCTGCCTAATCACGCATGTAATAATAACAACCTATCTGATTACTACTCATGTATACTACTCAAGTATACTGCTGCAATTAACGAATGTGTGCGTGCGTAAATAAAGAAAAGGTTATCTTAGAAGTAATCAGCGTAATTGAATCCGAATCCGAATCCATCACGATCGACATTCTAGTTGTGCTTCACTCACACCCGTCGTCTATAAATTGTACAAGCATCTATGATCTATCTATCTTTCCCAACTCACAGCTAGTAACAAGATTAATTGATGGATTCACCGGCATCGTCCACGGAGGCGATGGCACTGGGACCATCTCTTCCTAGTTAACTTAACCGAGAGAAGAATCAGCGGCTTGCCACCACCAGGCTTCCGCCTAAAGTTGCATCGCGGCCAGCTATTCTGGGTGGCTCCCTTCAACCAGGTGTACTGTGTGGGACGACCAGATCGGCCTCGTTGGCCGACACGCATACGGCCGCGCCGATCAGGGCCGGCGAACGACGCCGATCAGCCGCCGCCGCCGCCGTGCAAGCGCGCTCGACGAGTAGGCACGGTGTCGCTCGATCTCCTCCTGAGCCTGGTCCCTACGAGGGCGGCCGACGCGAGGGAGGAGACGTGCGCCGTGTGCCTGAGGGACTTCAAGGAGAGAGACTTGCTGAGGACGACGCCCTGCTTCCACAGCTTCCATGAGCGCTGCATCTTCCGTAGGCTCAAGGATAGCAGCCTCTGCCCAATTTACCGCCATGTTCTGCCCAAGCCGTAATATGATGACAACGATGATATTTATGTTAAAATTGACTGATAAATTAATCCTCAGCAATGAGAAGAAAAGAAGCACATTGCCATGTCGATGTGTTTAGTGTTTATTTTTCTCTTCAATGTGTATAATTTGTAGTGTAGTGGAGTGTGTACATTGCCATGTTTATTTCAGCTCACTTCTTATTTTTGTCAATGATGGGTATTGCTAACACTGTTTTTTTATTTTGTCAACACTAGTACCAGACGACGACCGCTGCATGTTTCGCGGGCTCTGATGCCCAATCAGCAGCAGGATGATCATGCTCTAAATAGAGGTTGAAAACAGTTTATTACCCACACACATAAAAACGAAAAACATGATTAACATATAATTAATTAAGTATTTTTAGTGTTAGATGATTTAACTGTCAACAACGAGACGCTCGTGGTGACTTCATAAATCTCAAAATATATCGGCCTAGTCTTCTGAAGGTGGTTATAGGGATAGGATGTGTATATTCAATTGGTGAGTGTGCGCGCATTGTGAGCGTCTGCATTTGTACTGTGTTTCTAAAAAAAATAAGTATTAATTATTAAAATTTTAAAATGAATTTGTTTATTTTTTAAAAACAGTTTATATAGAGAGAAAATTTGCATAAAATATACTATTTAGCAGTTTAAAAAAATGCTAACAAAAATTGAAAAAGTAGCAAGTCAATGCCTACCTGCAAGCCACGGCCAACGGCTGATGAACCACTGCTCAAATGATGATTTTTTTGGGGGGGGTCTCAGGCTCTCAGCTCACCAACAAATCAATCTTTTGCAGTGGGCAGCAGCTTCTTGATTGCTTTGTTTTCAACAGCATTTGTCTTCCCAACAATGTAAAAATGTATTCATGGATTGAAGCGTTGAACAAGAACGCGTTATGCATGGATCAATGAAGATTCAAGTTATGATTGTCTCCTGCCTTTTGGTTTAATGTACACAAATATGCTATACAATTAAGTTCCATGAAATGTACGTACGCATGCGCAGCGTCTACAGGGCGATAGTAAGTAATTAAACAGGCTATCAAGTCAAAGGACCACATATATCTGAAACTGCAGTTTTGTCAATCACCATGTACCAGTTTTAAAACTAGTCATCACAATATACCACATCATCGCCATCATCAATTTCTGGTGTTCACTTTACTATTGCTATGCACAAGCAAAGTTTAGTACAGTCTATCATTCAATATTGATCATCAGCAACTGTAGTATTTTACTACTTTAGCAGGATATACATCTCAAAATGCTTTTGTTTCTCAAAAATCTCCAAAAGCTTGAAATGGAAAATGTAGTATGGCAGAATGCATCTTCACTTGATTCTAGTCAAACTAGTTTCATGCGCAGTGCAGGAATACTATGCTAAACCTTCCACACATTTTGCACTTCCCACTCAATTGGTGATGATGTATCAAACTTGGAGCCATCAGTCCTACTGTCCTAGTGTTTCAAACTTGAACCTTAGCACATTCTACATTAAGGAAGTAGCAAGTCTTCAGCCCTCTACCCAAACAAGATCATCATCATCATCATCATCAATTGATTCTTGGGTCTCCACATCCAGATCAGCCAACTTATATACCTCTCCTATATTCCCTACAAACACATTAGATACAAAGCCAACACATTAAAAGATAAGGTGAAGGTTGACATGTTAAAAAAACACTGCACCAGTGAGCTTTCCGTTCAAAATATTATATGACTAACATTTTTGAGAACTATCATCGCAATCACATAAACCAGGCCATATCATTATCTAACTCAACAACAAGTATAAGAAACTAAAAAATGGCGGTAATATCATATACATTTCAAACAATGATAATAAACAATTACCTTTTTATAAAACGAAGTCAAGGGGTATGTAATTAGATTAGTAGAAGGGTCAATAAAAAGCTAGACTACAGCTAGAATGGTTAATGATTAATATTTTACAGAAGGTTGTTTTTTTTTGTTGTGTGTGTTTTTTCATGTGAAGGCTAATGCCAGTTGGTGGTTCGGGTGATGGTGGGTGCTGCTCCCTTCCCCGTTCCTATTTTTCTCCCTTACTAATGAAATGACACGCAACTCTCATGCGTATTCAAGAAAAAAACAATATTTTACAGAAAATTTTTTGGCTCCTATGTGAAATTATAGATAGGAACACAAGTTTTGATCAAGAAATACCTGTTGGTTGCTCCACTTTCATTTCAATGCCATCATCACCAGAGTCACCACCATCATCACGTTTTGATTTGGCACCCAACCGCCTCTCAAACTGTGCATCAGAAGCAAATGGCTGGTCAGAAATACATGTAAGGCTTTCTTCTTGTATCATCCTTTTGTCCTCATCTTCCTGCCTTTTCTGGATAGCCTCATAATAAGCTTTTGCATATGCCTCCTACACCATTAAATAAAAGGTGAATTTATATTTAACATTCACTCAACTAGCTAGTTCTTGATTGTGAAACTTATAATTGATATTGAAATGCAAATTTTATCAGCTCACCTGTATGCTCTTCATCTCATCTTTCTCTGAGAGCTGTTTCTTGTCACTCTTGGCTTCTGAACTTTGATCCAGATCTGCAGTGTTGCTGATTTCTCCTTTATGTTCCCCTGTGAGGACTGTACTCTTACGATTCATCCATGAGGGCTGTGGCTTTATACTTTCCATACCAGATTCAACACCTTCCTGTGCTCCAGTACTTCCTAAGAAATTAACTTCAACCTGGAAAGGAGAATTGGATTAATCAGGCAGTGCAATATCTAGTTTAAATGAAGTAATTAGTACTTACAGGGGCAAATCCTAATAATCAAACCATTTGATTCCAATCTAGAAAGGCATGAGATGTTTCAGGAAGTATAGAAGTTCTAACAGTATTCCCAGCATAACACCATGGTCATGTTATATGCCTCATCAATGTTGCCTTTATTGGCTTCACATTTATCTAAATTTGCACCTTTAACTACTAACGTATACAACTCAATGCATATACCAGGCTTACCTCTGTTTCCCCAAGGAAGGGCATTGGTTTACTGCTGTATCGCCCTTCTGAATTCTGAGATGAACCAACTGCACCATTTGCAGATGCCTCCATAGTTGCTCTTTCCCAATCTTGCAAACTCATAAAAGATGGAAAAGGAAGATCCTTTACCCTGTCAAGTACTGCTATTAATGGCTTCAATTGCTCCTGCATTCATGTATGTTCAATGTTAGAGCAGAAATCTACAAAACGAAAGCATCACAATCCACACTATCATCAAGATTCCAGAACATGCACTTTGCCATCCATGTTTAAGCTAAAAACTACCTTGCAGTCAGCATCTTGAGGGGCACGCTTAGCCAATATGGGAGAACATACACCGTTATATTTATTTTATATACGAGATATAAACATATACAAGTGATCAGCGAAGTGATGCTTCATAGATGACATAACCAATCTATAGAAATATTTCCATCTCTGCTATAGATATTGAAACTATATATATGGTTCATGTCAAAGAAAGTCCTTCTCACAACAATGAAATGCTATATTGTTATCGTGCTATTATCACAAATGCAATAATGGTTAAATAGATGTTAAATTATGTATTATCTAAGTGCAATGTAAAAAATTATAGAAAGTTTATGCACAATTTACTGGATAACAATCTGATTATTGGCCAAAATGCAGATACACTAATTTAGTCTTTCTGACAAAGGCGAAACAAATTTAATTGTTTTCCAATAGTTATAGTATGTAAGCTGTACTAAAAACTGAACAATTCTAACATCATTTATGTTTGATCTATGCTCCCAAATTTGGAAACAAATTTCTAACTGAATAAAAAGTAATAACCTCCATTCTTTGCTGCATATCCTTTAGTTTATCGTGCTTATGCTTTATTGCATTGTCACCACCACACACAACTTCATCCAAAGTAAGCTTTTCACTTTCTGGAAGAAGTTGTTCTTTGCAATGCTCACAGTGAAAATAGTCATCCATATCGCTTACAAGTTGCAGTGCATCAAATGCTGAATACCTACTGTCGGTGACATGGGACCGGGAGTATCATGACTTAGAGACTTGAGGCAGACACGATCACCCACGTGGCCTAACCCCCTCGGGGGGGGGGGGGGGGTCGGGCCCGAGGGTGATACGGCCGCCCTTCTCTTTGTCTCCCCGAGGGGTCGGACCGCTCCCGCCTCGGCCCCGAGGGCCGAGGCGCCCCGACCCCTTGTGGGTTTTGCGCCGCGTGTATGGGTTAGGTGAGCGCAGCGGGGCTCACCTAACCGCATTTATTGCGGTTTGGGTGAGCACGTCACGCCGCACGTAATGCAGTACAGCGCGCTCGTTTATCCGGTCTGTGACTGGTCACAGACCGGTCAGATTGCGGGTTAGGTGGCAACAGGCGATCTGACACACGCCTCGCCCCGTCCCGTCAGGATGAGAGTCTCTAGGCACTCGTCCCTAGCCAGAGCCAGCGTGCTAGCTCCTGGAGATGGCACGTTGGTCCTGGTCAGGTATATGCCAGGCTTCATCCCAACCATTACAAGCAAGAAATTGTATGAAGAAGGGTGGACATGCAGATTGCTAAACTGACGCGTGGTGGACAAGAATGACCGATTTGTGACCGGTCTGACACTGGTCATGTCGTCGGCAAACAGCTGTGTTCCCACGTCGCGCCTGCTTCCGGCGGAAGTGGAGGTAGGTATGGGCCGTCCCATCAGAAGGTCATTCGGACGGCAACCATACAAGTCTCCGTCTGTTTAAGAAAAGATAGGATAAGTCCCCACAAAAAAGAGAGAGATGGTGCATGTGGTATCCCCTTGAGGTATAAAAGGAGGACCTTGCCCACTTAGAAGGGGGATTGATTTTTTGGGGGGGATCCAGAACGATCAGAGAGGGAGAGAGTAAGAGCTCTCTGGTTCTCCAGCTCTTTTGTAGCTTCTTCGTACATAGATTCACCAAAACACAGGAGTAGGGTATTACGCTTCTCAGCGGCCCGAACCTGTATACATCGCCCGTGTCTTGTGTGTTTCCATTATCGCGAACCTTCCACACACCGAGAGCTTAGAATCTCACCCAGGGCCCCCGGCCGAACCGGCAAAGGGGGGCCTGCGCGGTCTCCCGGTGAGGAGCCCCACGCTCCGTCATCTGGCGCGCCAGGTAGGGGGTTCTGCGTGTGTTCTTCTAAGCTCTCGCACTCTTTCGTGTGCGCCAAGCTTTTCCTGTTCAGCCCAATGGCCGAACAAGCAAAGGCGCACAACCTCTCTCCGAGTGTTAGCGGTGACGACGGGGAGCCGAACCCACGCCGTCGAGCTCGTACTCCACCCTCCACGCCAAAGTCCTAGGCAGGAGGAGGCGCTCGAGAGGGTCAAAGGATCCGCGACTTCGACATCCACGGGTGATGGGGAAGGGCGGCGAGATGGGGAGCGTCGCCTCCTCGTCTACGGCGACGGCAGCACGCCCCAGGGCGCGCTCCAAGCTGCGGGCGCGCTCCTACGTCACCCGCCTATTGTCCCTGACCCGGAGTCTCCAGCCCAACGTTGGCTGGACGACGTGGCCAACTTGGTCATGACGGCACGGCAGCGCCTAGGTGCTGGTGGGCGGTCCTCCGCCACCAAGACCTCTGGCGCTGCTACCACCGGCTCCGTATCGTCAAGGCGGAGGGCGCGGCGAGCGGCGGCTGTTGCTCGCCATTCGGCCGCCACTCCTTCGTCAGCGCCTCCGACCCAGGAAGATCTGCGTGGGGGGCCGGATGCCCGCATCAGTATCGAGCGCCGGCGTAATGGCCGACGTGCTGCCCACGCAACGGAGGGCGCCTCCTCGTCCGGAGTGTCACATCAACACGGACGCGGGGATCAGCCCTCCGTGCCCCCGGTTGGTGGTGTCGGCTGTAGAGCCTTTGTGGCGAGCCTTCGGAACGTCCGTTGGCCCCCAAGGTTCCGGCCCACCAGCGCCGAAAAATATGACGGGAGCGTCAACCCCGCCGAGTTTCTCCAGGTCTACACGACCGGGATTGAGGCCGCCGGGGGTGACGACAGGGTCATGGCGAATTTTTTTCCCATGGCCCTGAAGGGACAGGCACGGGGTTGGCTAATGAACTTGCCACCCGCGTCCGTCCACTCTTGGGAGGATTTGTGCCAACAGTTCACCATGAACTTTCAAGGCACATATCCGCGCCCAGGTGAAGAAGCGGACTTACATGCAGTCCAGCGAAGGGATGATGAGTCACTTCGCTCATACATTCAGCGGTTCTGTCAAGTCCGCAACACTATACCATGCATCCCTGCACACGCGGTGATCTACGCGTTCAGGGGGGGTGTGCGGCACAACCGCATGCTCGAAAAGATCGCCTCCAAAGAGCCCCAGACTACCGCGGAGCTTTTTCAGCTCGCGGACCGAGTGGCTCGTAAGGAAGAGGCATGGAACTGGAACCCCTCCGGTTCCGATGTGGCAGCTTCGGCCGCCCCCGGATCCGCTGCTCGGACAGGGCGGCGTGACAGGAGGAGGAAGAAGAGGTCAGCCCATTCCGATGACGAGGGTCATGTCCTCGCCGTCGAGGGCGCTTCGCGGGCCACCCGAAAGGGGAGGCCTGCGAGCGACAAAAAGAAGGAGGCCGGCGCTCCCAGTAGGGAGCGCCCAACCGGCAAGTGGTGCATCGTCCACAACACCTCCCTTCATGACCTCGCGGACTGCCGCGCAGTCAAAAGTTTGGCTGAGCGGACGAGGAAGTGGGAGGAGAGGAGGCAGGAGCGCCGAGAGGGCAAGTCCCCGGCGGTTCCTTCCGGCAATCGGCGAAGTGAGGCCAAGCAGAAGGACCCCGCCGAGGACATCGATGACGGCGATGATGACCTAGGTTTCCAAGAGCCTGGGGCCACCATTGCCACTGTCGATGGGGGAGCGTGTGCTCACGTTTCTCACCGGAGCCTCAAGGCCATGAAGCGAGAGCTTCTGGCCGCGGCCCCTACTCATGAGGCGACGCGCCGGGCGCGGTGGTCGGAGGTTGCCCTCACCTTCGACCAGACCGACCACCCACCGTGCGTTGCCCGGGGAGGACAGATCGCAATGGTGGTTTCCCCCACTGTTTGCAACGTGAAGCTGGGGCGTGTCCTCATTGATGGGGGAGCAGCCCTCAACATCCTTTCCCCCGCAGCCTTTGACGCTATCAAGGCCCCGGGGATGGTGCCCCGGCCGTCCCAGCCGATTATCGGTGTGACGCCGGGTCACACTTGGCCGCTAGGTCATATCGACCTCCCGGTCACCTTCGGTGGATCCGCCAACTTCCGCACGGAACGGGTGAACTTTGATGTGGCGGACCTCAGTCTGCCCTACAACGCGGTCCTAGGGAGGCCCGCGTTGGTGAAGTTCATGGCGGCGGTCCATTACGCCTACCTCCAGATGAAGATGCCGGGCCCCGGTGGCCCCATCTCTGTCCATGGCGACCTCAAAGTCGCGCTTGCTTGTATGGAGCAGCGCGCGGACCACCTCACCGCCGCGTCCAAGCCCGAGGGAGGCGACGAGAGGCTTGGCACCTCCGCCCCCGCCGCCCCGAGGCAGCGGATAGTCACATGCGACGAGGTCCCGGTCAAGGAGGTTGCCCTGGGCGACGACCCGTCCAAGACCACACGGATCGGTGGTCTTCTGGACGGCAAATAGGAAGACGCGCTCGTCTCTTTCCTGCGGGCAAACGCTGACGTCTTCGCATGGAGACCGGCGGATATGCCCGGGGTCCCCAGGGAGGTGATTGAGCACCGTCTCGCCGTGCGGTCGGGCGCAAGGCCGGTCCGGCAGAAAGTACGGCGGCAGGCCCCGGAACGTCAAGCCTTCATCCGCGAGGAGGTGGCGCGACTTCTGGAGGCCGGATTCATCCGCGAGGTCATCCATCCGGAGTGGCTGGCGAACCCGGTGGTCGTTCCCAAGGCGAACGGCAAGCTTCGGATGTGCATCGACTACACCGACCTTAACAAGGCATGTCCTAAGGACCCTTACCCCCTGCCTCGCATAGATCAGATTGTCGACTCCACAGCGGGGTGCGACCTTTTGTGTTTTCTAGATGCATACTCTAGTTACCATCAGATTCGCATGGCTAGGGAGGATGAGGAAAAAACTGCATTCATTACCCCCATAGGAACTTATTGTTATACGACAATGCCCTTCGGGTTAAAGAATGCAGGTCCTACTTTTCAACGTACTACTCGAATTTCTTTGGGTAGCCAAATTGGACGTAATGTTGAGGCTTATGTCGATGACTTGGTTGTAAAGACGCGCAGCCAAGAGACCTTACTCTCGGATCTAGCGGAAACTTTTGAGAGTCTCCGCTCCGCCCGCATAAAACTGAACCCCGATAAGTGCGTGTTCGGTGTACCTGCGGGCAAGCTTCTCGGGTTTTTGGTCTCTGCCCGAGGCATCGAGGCCAACCCCGAGAAGATACGAGCTATAGAGCGGATGCGCCCCCCCAGCAAGCTTAGGGATGTGCAATGCGTCATCGGTTGCATGGCCGCCCTAAGTCGGTTCATATCGAGGCTGGGAGAGAAGGCGCTACCCTTATTTAAGCTCCTCAAACGCTCCGGGCCGTTTACTTGGACGGAGGAAGCTGAACGTGCCCTCACTCAGTTGAAGGCGTATCTCAGCTCTCCCCCAGTTCTGGTCGCCCCGGAGCCAAATGAACCCTTGCTACTCTACTTAGCGGCGACCCCGCAAGTGGTTAGTGCGGCGTTGGTTGTGGAGCGCGATGAGGACAATCCTCATTCCGCGCACCCCCACCCTGTGCTGGCTTGGCCTGGGAGAGAGCAGGGAGGAGAGGCCCCCGAGCCGAACGGTGGCCCAAGGCCCCCGACGACCGGAGCAGGCCCTCTGCCCGCTTGTCAGACGGTGCCAGGTGCCCCCGACCCCCAGGATGGCCCGAGGGCCACTGCGGGAAGGCCGCACCTATCGCCCTCTGACCCCGAGGCTAACCCTGTGCCGACTCGACCCGGGAGAGAGCAGGGAGAAGAGGCCCCCGAGCCGAACGGTGGCCTAAGGCCCCTGACGACCGGA